AAAGCACTCCTACGCTCCACGGCTGTCAGGGAGACAAGTCAGCAGGTTGCTCCGGGAACGGTGACCATGGGCCAGCGGAAGCTGCTAGCATTAACTTTCACTGGTCGGCATGTGGACAGCAAACAACAAAGGATTGTGACATGCTGGAGGAACACTTCAATTACCGTGTAACTCAAAACATGACTGGCTACTTAGTGCATAATTAGTGCCACTTAATGTGTGTGTGAAGGGAAAAGAGCCCTGGAGGTGCCTGGAGCACACCCTGCCCGGGGAGGGCACAAAGGCAGGCTGGGAGGTGGGAGGCTGCAATCGCTTACAGCTCATCCTACACCACAGGCCTCAGTAAATGCCGACAGAGCAGGTAAAATGATCTTTTGGGGACTGGCAGGTTTTCCTAGCAGCTGCTAATAAACAGGCGGGTCTATGTTTCTGCCAAGGAACACCCAGATCCTGGTGTAAGGGCAGAGCCTGAAGCCAATGCGGCTGTTCAGGTTTGCACCACCTGAGGATCTGGCTCCCTGGGAGTCCATTCGAAACTTTGAAGATAATGTTGGTGACAGCTCTGAGCGGGGCGAGCCCCTTGGGGGTGAAGTGGCTGTATGCACGCAGCGTGCGCGGGAGAAATCACAACAGTGAAGGTAACAGTTTGAATCTCAATGCAACCCACTAAAAGCAGCTCCCTCTCCCACGAGCAGAATGTTAGTGCTCATGCAGGGTCAGGGCATCTGCTCCAGAGAGGCGGAATGATAAATGACACTTTACTGTAAGTCTGGGCCTTGTTTGCCTCCTGCTCCTGCAAAGCATGCTCCCTGCAGTCCCTAACAAAAGCCTTCCACCAATGCAAAAGAAACTACAGTTTGCAGTCTGTGTTCTCGCAAACTCTCCATTCACGGGCAAAGGGTGCATCCCTACCCCTGCCTGGTGCTGCCTGCCCCAGAGATTCATGGATTCACAGGATTGAGACAGAGTGGGAACTTCCCTACAGGAAGCCTGGTGGGACACCATCAACCATGGTCATGCTAGCTGGTGCAATGGTCCTTAGCAGACTATGCCTGGTTGATGATGATGTTTTTCTCCTACTGAACCAGGGTGTTTTCCTACGGGTATGTTGATGGTCCGTGGATATTCTCATTGGCATCTGTGGATGTGGATATAAAGTGGATATCCGTGGATTTGCAGGGCTCTAGTAATTATCAAGTAAGCCATCCCCTGTTGTCCAGTCCCAACTTCTGGCAGTCAAAGGTTTAGGGACGCCCAGAGCATGGGGCTGCATCACTGACCATGTTGGCTAATAGCCATGGACTGGTCCTCTATGAATTTATCCAGTTCTTTTTTAAATCCAGTTATACTTCTGTCCTTCACAACATCCCCTGACAATGAATTCCACAGGTTGACTGTGCGTTGTGTGAATAAGTACTTCCTTATGTTTGATTTAAACCTGCTGACTATTTTTTTCTGTTTCTTGTGTTATGTGAAGGGGTAATAAACTTCCTTATTCACTTTCTCCACACCAGGCATGATTTTATAGACCTCTATCGTATCCCCCCAGTCGTCTCTTTTCTAAGATGAACAGTCTCCGTCTTTTTAATCTCTCCTCATATGGAAGCTGTTCCATACCCCTCATCATTTTTGTTGCCCTTCTCTGTACTTTTTCCAATTCTAATACATATTTTTGAGATGGGGCAATCAGAACTGCATGTAGTGTTCAAGATGTGGGCGTACCATGATTTATCTAGTGGCATTATGATATTTTCTGGCTTATTATCTATCCCTTTCCTACTGGTTACTTACATGGTTCACTTTTTTTGACTGCCACTGCACATTGAGCAGATGTTTTCAGAAAACTATCCACAATGATTCCAATATCTCTTCTTTAGTGGTAATATCTAATTTAGACCCACCATTTTGTAAGTATAGTTGGAATTATGCACTTTTCATTTATCAACAACGAATTTCATCTGACATTTTCTTGTCCAGTCACCCAGTTTTGTGAGATCCCTTTGTAATTTTTTGCAGTCAGCTTTGAACTTAACTATCTTGAGTAATTTTGTATCATCTACAAACTTTGCCACCTCACTGTTTACCCCCCTTTTCCAGCTCATTTATGAATACGTTGAACAGCACTGGTCCCCGTACAGATCCTGGAGGGACCCCACTATTTACCTCTCTCCATTCTGAAAACTGATCATTTATTCCTACCCTTTGTTTCCTATCCTTTAACCAGTTACTGATCCATGAGATGACTCTCCCTCTTATCCCACAGCTGCTTATTTTGCTTAAGAGCCTTGGGTGAGGGACCTTGTCAAAGACTTTCTAAAAGTCCAAGTATACTATATCCATTGGATTACCCTTGTCCGCATGTTTGCTGACACCCTCTAAGAATTCTAATAGATTGGTGAGGCATGATTTCCCTGTACACATGCTATGTTGATGCTTCCCCAACATATGTTCACCTAAGTGTCTGATAATTCTGTTTTTTTACTATAAGTTTCAACCAATTTCCCTGGTACTGAAGTTTGACTTACTAGCCTGTAGTTGCCAGGATCACCTCTGGAGTCTTTTTTAAAAATAGGTGTTACTTCTGCAGTCATCTGTTACAGAGGCTGATTTAAGTGACAGATTACATACCACAGTAAGTAGTTCTGCAATTTCGCATTTGAGTTCCTTCAGAACCCTTGGGTAAATACCATCTGGTCCTTGTGACTTATTACTGTTTAATTTCTGTTCTAATTACTGTTTAATTTCTCAATTTGTTCCCAAACCTCCTCTAATGACACCTCAATCTGGGACAGTTTCTCAGATTTGTCTCCTAAAATGAATGGCTCAGGTGTGGGAAACTCCCTCACATCCTCTTCAGTGAAGACCGAGGCAAAGAATTAATTTAGTTTCTCTGCAATGGCCTTGTAAATTTTTGCTAAACATACAACCTTATCTGCTCACCGGATATGCAGCACAGTACCTCTGGCTTGGAAGCAACATCGCAGAAGTGTAAGTGCTCTTTGTATATATTTTTTGCACGGTGATACTTCACAGCACTCCCCAGGTTGAAAGTCACACATCTCTCCCTAATAAACCACACACGTACGCACGTGGGGGTGTTTAAACATTGCCTGTTAGTCTTTGGCACATAAAAGCTGGTAAATTTGGGGCTTGGAACCAAGGGCCTGACGCTGCTTTTCCGAAAGAAAGAAAGAAATGCTGAAATGTAGCAGGGAGTTAGCTCAACCCCCCCTGCTCCCACACTCCTTCCTTCCCGAACGGGTCAATGAGACTATCCGGAACTGTGCTAAATAGCTGTGCTGAGAAAAGGTGCTTGGAGAGTCCTAGGGCACAAAAAGGTGGAGCTTCTGCGGGGCAGGGCCTGCGGTGGCTTTTTATCCCCCTTAGGCACCTGACACAGGGCAGGCCCCCAACACAAAGACACAGTCCTTGGGTGGGTGCCTGGAACTGCATCCAGTCCAGGGGAGCGTTACCAGTAACCCACAACCAGCATGTGAGCTGCCGGTGCTGCCGGCTGGGCCCAGTGGGTCAGTGGCCAGGAGCAGACCCAGTCCAGCAAGGCAGGCCCTGCAGGCCCGCAGTGACCTGGCATGGTGCAGGGTTTCTGCCGATGCCTAGTTTCTTCATTCACCATTCAAGGGGTGAAGCAGCCAGAGCCGGCCCTAGGCCGAAGCAGACTAAGCACTTGCTTAGGGCCCTGAACCCTCAGGGGGGGCCCTATTCACTTTTCATTATAAGCACCTGCCTGTTTTGGCATGGGGGGGGGAAGTATTCCTGCTTAGGGCCCCCTCTGGGCTGGCACTGGCAGGCGAATAGTCCCAGTTACTGAGAGTCCTGGGGTCAGGCTAGCCGTGCCCGTGGGTTAGCTACAGGATGCTTTTGCTAGGTGGTGTGGGAGTAAAAGGTCTCAGGCATTAGGAGCGGAGGCTGGGTACTTTAGACGCACTGGTTAATCCCCACCTGCCTGTTTCATTAAGTGGTTCAGGCTCAGGGAGAGGCCGAAATGTTCTTTTCCATGGAAGCCTCCTGTCCCCCCAGCCTCTCCCTGGCCGGGAAGGTCCTAGGGGGGGAGGAGCTGGCGGCTGGTTAGCCCCACAGCCTGGGCTGACTGCAAACAGCCGAGCACCGGGGGGTGGAAAGCAGCAGTGACTGCCAGGCGTTGGAGGGGAGAAGTCTGATCGAGGCAAAGGGGCCTGGGTGTGTCCCCCACCGGCGCTCTGCGGGCAGGCTGCGCAAGGCGGCTCCCGGCGGGGTCTAGGGTGGACGGGCCTAAGGAATGTCCGGCACAGTCGCCGCCCTTTGAGCGTTTGTCCAGGCGGCTGGGGACGCTCTGCACCCTGCAGCCTCCCCAGGATCGTGTCCCCTGGGCAGGGCCTTGGCTGGAGCCAATGGGCCGCCCTACACGGGTCCCTGCTTCCCGCGGACAATGTCCCGGCTCTGGGGAGCACTTTGCCTTTTCCAGCATCGCTTTGCTCCCCGCCGTTCAGCGTTTCAACGCGCCCAGCTGCCTGGAGAGTTTTGTTCAAACTCGTTTAATATTTGAAGCTCCTCTGCCCCCGCCCTGCGGCCCGGGGAGCGAGCAGGCGCCTTCGGTTCTCCGGGGACTTTGTTGTGTTTCTTTCTCCCACGTCATCCCTGACCCCGCCAGCTCCCTTGCTGGGCCGTGCGGGGAAAGAAACCGAGACACGGGATGTGGGAGCCGGTTTATTAAACCCGGGAGCCGGGTACAAACACGCTGCCGCCTCGGCGCCCCTTGGAAGCGGGGGCGATATTTAAAACACTGAAATGCGCCCCCCGGGTCCTGCATCTCCCCGGCGGGGCGGAGAACCTCCGCCCCTGCGCTCTGCGCGCCCGGGGCGCTGGCTAGCGAAGGAGCGAGCCCAGCGGGGGTGATCCTAACCCCCGGGCACGTCCCTCCTGCGCTCTAGCGCCCGCGGGCAGGGAAACGCCCCCGCCCGCCCACGTTCTCCTGACCAAGCCGCGCGTGGGGGAGGCGCGCGTTACCAGGGCCGCCACAGCGCCTGGCTCCTGCTGGGCCCGGCGGGTCTTTGCTGCAGGGGGCCGCGCCGCGGGGCAGCAGCGCCCGGCTCCGTCCGGGGCTGGGAGCTGGGAGCGCCAGGGGCCCGGGGGCGCTGGGGGGAGACAGGCCCCCTCTGCGCGGCCGCGCGGCCGCCGGGCCGGGAGCCCCGGGGCTCCGGGCGCGGCGCCAGGGGGGTGCTGTCCGTGGTGCTGCAGCCGGAGCCGCTCACCCGCGGGGCGGCCCGGGCCAGCTCCTGCAGCAGGTGGAAGGAGGACGCCTCGCTGGCCCCCTCGGAGCGCAGCAGGAACTGGTTCACCCCGTGCAGGCAGCTCCGGAAGCCGGCCTGGTAGTCAGCGCCTGGGAGAACGGAGAGCGGATCAGCAGCCTTGCAGCAGCGGGCTCCCCCGCCGGGCGCCGGGTGCGCCCCAGCCCGCCCCATCAGTGCCAGCCGGGAGCCTCCAGGGCCCAGCCCCGCACCCCGATAGCATCACTGCTGCTCCTGCCCGCCCCGTCCTGCAGATCCGCACCGCTGGGAGCCCAAGACTCTGCGCGGGGCCCGGGCCAGCGGGGCGCGGGGTCTCTGAACAGCCAGTGGGGGCTGGGGGAGCCCCGCTTCGCCACACTGGGGCGCGTGGATCCTGCGTTACTCGCGGCTCTCTCCTGCGCGCGCAGCCCGTCCGGCCTGAGTGCAACCTGCTCTTGGGAGGAGGACGGGGTCAATCCGCGCGGCACGCGCCTGCCCTAATCCGGCCTGCAGACAAGCCAGGAAAACAGCTGCTACTCGGCCCCTCCCCCTCTGGGGGGGTCCAGTTACCCCCGCGGGCTCTCCGGCCAGTCCGGCACTGCTCCGCCCCAGCCTGCGAGCCACGGAGGCTCCAAGGGATTCATAGAAACTGCAATTGACAGAGCAAAGGGACCGGGCAGAATCGTGTCCACACGGGGCTCGGTGCCATCGATATAACAGGGCGTGGGATCTAAATCCAGAGTAAATTTCAAACCAGTGTCTTGAGGCGCCCAGGGAGCCCAGGCACGGCCAAAGGCAGCCCAATAACCAGACACTGCTGCCGCCCCGGTGCCCCAGCGGAGATTCTGGCTCCTTGCACCACAGCTCGTGGATTCGCATCATTGGGATGCAACCGGCGGGACCCCGCAACCTTGAGCTTCGATCCAGATTAACACAAGCCCCTTCTACCCAGCAACAACCGCCATGAGCCCTGCTACTCCCGCGAGGAGACGGGAGGGCAACGGAAGTTTTACCTTGGACAGAATTCTGGAGGCTTTTCATGTACTTGACGCTCAGCTCCAGGATATCTGCCTTCTCCAGTTTGCGCTTTCTGATCTGGAGAGAGAGAGAGACCCACCGCGATCAATAACGTACTGAACGGGCCATAGCCGCGTGATTCGGTTCCACTGTAAATGCGGAGCCAAGAAGTGCCCGCTGGGAAACCTGTCTAGACAGTGTGGTGGTCTGGGGGGGGGGGGGGGGTGGGGGGGGGGGGGGGGGTGACTCACGTGGTGAGAATAGTGCTTTTCTAGCAGAGCCTTCAGTTGCTCCAGAGACACATTGATCCTGGCTCTTCTCTTCTTCTCCATCAAGGGTTTTGAGATCTGCGGGGGGAGAAGGGAAATGTTACCGGGGTTTGGCTTTCACTCCTCCCCCGGCCCCCGGCCCGCTTCTTTCCTCCGGCCGAGTGCTGCTAGCAAACCTTGCGGAAGCTGCAAAGCTGCGGTTTCTCCTGCCCTCCGGGCTGGGTGATCATGTTCCCCCTCTCCGGGAACCAGCGGCCCCGGGAGTTCGCAGCCGGGGGAGGGAGGCAGGATTTATACCGGGGACCCACTTTACATGTCAATACCGGCATTCAGGCGCTGAGCGCCTCCCTGAGGGGGGCAAGGGCCGGGGGCGGGCAGCTGGGGAAGGGGGAATTCTGGGGCCCAGGAGCTGTGATTGGCGAGGCGAGGGAGGCTGGGAAGGGTTACAATGACTTTTACCAAGATGTTCAAGTGCCGTTTGTGTATTTCTCTGGATTTAAAGAACGGGAGACACCGCCCAGCCCGCCACACCTCAGGGGGGCTCCGCGTTGGGAAGCAAATGGCATCACTCGAGTTATCTCTGCCCCCCCACGGGGGTTCACCAAGCCCTTGCCGTGCGGCTCTGAACTCTCATAGGGATCCCTTTGTGTTCCGCGCCCCTGGGTGCCGGAGAACACGCGGCTCTCGCTGCACGGGCTTGTTTGGGCCGTGACTGGCTGTACAGCGCCGCGCACGCCCCAGCGCTCGCAGACACCAGCTGGCTTATGCTCGGGTCCCGCCGCTGCAGTCTGTGCGCCCCGGGGATCCCTAGCGCGCTACCGGAGCTGCTGGGGCAGGTCGAGTCCCTCCGCGGGGCACTGCTAATTAGCGAAGGGTTTGTTCCCTGCAGTCCGCACGCGGCCCGGCCCCGGCCAGGCTCTGGGAGAGCCCCGTGCCAGGCGGGCCGCCGGGAGATGAAGACATGTCAACTAGGCCCAGCAAGTCCTCCTTTCTGGCCGCGTTTCACGCTTGGCGCGGGGAGGCCAGGCTAGATTAGCGGCCCTAACGCCCGGACAATGCAGCAATTTTCTGCTTGCAGCCCTTCAAAGAGCGCGGAGGCGCGATTTCTCCGCTCTAAGCGGAGACATGAGCGAACATATGTTTCATTAAAGCATGGCAGGGCCAGGCCAGCCCCGCGCGCTCACAGGTGCACGCGGGATTCCCGACAGGCAGGAGTCCCAGGACAGGTCCAGGGACCTGTTGTTTCCAGCTCCCCGGACCCAGGCAGGGTCCCGGGCCCTCTGTAAAGCCAGGGAATTCTCCCTCTCTCCTGCCCCGTGCACTCGCTGTGCTGCGGGGGGCGCTTTCCTCTCTCTTCGGCTGGCTTTTGTCCTCAGAGCCAAAACTATTCCGGGAGCCCCTTCCCCGACTGCACGTGGGAACTCAGCAAAGAGCGGGCGGGGGGGATGGAGGCGTTCCCGGATTCGCCTCGCTTCAAAATTGCCTTCCACAGTCGAAATTCCTCCCGCTCACTCATTTAAAAGGTTTTTATAATAGACAATTAGGTCTGGTCCCAGATACAAAACCCCAGATGTTTGCAAAGCCACAAACCGTTTGTGTGAGCTCGGGCCGCGGCGCTTTTTACCAGCGCAGGCAGAATGCAAAGTGAAGGCTGCAGCCAGACCGAATGCTCTAGCACCGGGTCGCCAGCAAACCCGCGGGGCGGGGGGGGTCCTTAAACGTGGGTTCTCCCGCTCGCTGGGGAGGGGACCCCCCAAACCTCTCCGCTCCTCGCACGCTGCTAAAAGCCAACCCTCCAGGATGCCCCGCTGAGTGCCTCGTGGCCGCCCTGGGGTGCTGAAATGGACCCGGGGGCCCCGTGCCCTTGACTTCAACGGGAGAGGTGCAGGCTCGGGCCCATGGCTGAGGGGCCAAGCCCAGGTTCACCCCACAGTGTGTAGGGAAAGGGGGGGGCAAGCCGGCGGCGGGGACCGAGCCCGCAGAGCGCAGGCGGAAAGGGCCAGGATCCAGCATGTGAATAGCTAGTGCAGAGCGGGTCAGTCGGTGCCAGGCGCCCAGGCCCCAGGGTCCCTGCGTGTCCCCGAGGGCGCCGTGCGGACAGACCGCTGGGCAGGCCGCTGCCCGTCCCGTCTCCCCCGACGGGCCGCCTGCCCCCCGCGCTCCCCAGCCGGGGGCCCGGCACAGCGAGCAGCCTGCAGCCCCGCTCCGGCATTTGTCCTTTAATGACGCCTTTATAGTGCCCACGGGCTGCGCTGAATCCCGCCTGTCGCCGCTGTCCCTGCAGCCCTGCGCCGCTGGCCGGGGACAACAGACCAAAGCGCTGCGGGCTCAGCGGGGCGCGGCGAAGGGGACCGGGGACGGGGAGTTATTCTCCTGTTCACAGCCAGCTCCGCAGCGCCCCTGAGCCCTCGGGGCTCCTCCCAGAACAGCCCCCGCTGACTCCGCTCCAGCCACTCCAAGGGGCCTTCCTGGGCCGGGCCACCAGGGACGGAGGGGTTGGGGGGGGCACCAGCTCTGCCATCCTATTACCCCCCCCCATACCTGCCCAGCGCGGAGGCAGGGCGCTGTGTGGCTGGAAGGCTGGTCTCTAACCCGTCCAGATACGACCTCCCCCCGCCCCAGTCCCTCTCTTCGGGACCCGCCTGCAGATCAGCGCAGAGGCACCTATGCTCACGGCCCGAGACTACAACCCAGAGGCCCGATTAGGCCCTGGGGCTGGAACTCGGGGGGCTGGGGGGGCTGTGGCCCCCTGGCTTGAAGTGGTTCCATCATACACAGGGTTTGGCTCTCAGCGCCCCCCTCCCCCCACGACACACATTGTTCCAGCCCCCCAGGACTAGGCCTGAGGATCTTGTCCTAGAACAAGGTGGGGGAACGATGCCTGGCAGCTGGATTTCCTCCCGTGACCCCCAAGTAGGAGCGCTGGAAGGATGTGGGGGGCTGAGAGCCACTGAACCGCACTGTAACCCCCGTACGTGGTGGCACCACCCCCCGCCAGCCCTAGTGCCAGCCCCCGTGCCCAGGACTCAGGCGGTGCGGCCTGCAGACGGCAGCTCCCAGCCAGACCCCTGCCCGGCCCAGCCCCGGGCCAGCCGCTGCATTCCGCGTGGGGGACATCGCCAGCGGCCCGTCAGCTTCGGGGCTGCCTGGGTGTGTCCCGACACGCGGTCCCCGCTTGAATTAAACGGGGGAGGGGGGGAAATCACCTTCCCAAGAGCGCCAGGGACCCAGGAGCTCGGGCAGCCCATGGGCCCTGCCCCCGCGCAGTGGAAAGGGGGCGTCCGTCGGGAGACCCACAGAGGAGGGGGGGCTGGGTGGCTTGTGCCAGGCAGTCACTGGGCGCTGATGCTGGCCCAGCCCAACCAGCCGCTGCAGACTCGCCCCCCCCGGCACCACCCCGGCCCCCAGAACCCCTGTGCGGGGGAGGGGGGGGGTTACACCGCCTCTCCTGGGCGCGACACGCTCTTCGCTCGGACCCCGGGCAGGGAGCGGGCGAGCCCGGCACGCCGGACCCGCGGGCACGGGGGGTCTGCCCAGAGGGAATCTGGAGCCGAGCGGCAATGCCCAGAGAGCCGGGGCGCTCCAGCCCCACCTGCCCCCGGTGACCGGCCCCTGCCCTGCCTGCCTGCGGGCCCCTGGGCTCCCCCCGCCCGCGCCCGGTCTCCACGGCCGGCTGCAGCCCCCCGCCGCCGGCCGGGCCCCTTCTCCCCGCGGGGGGCCGCTCGCTGGAGCTTGTCTGGCCCGGGCCGCTCGGGCGGCACCTCGCAGCGTGGAGAATCGCGGGCCCGCCCCCGGCCTTTCAATCCGCTGCCAGCTCGGGGGCCGCGCTGGGGCAGCCTGTGAGCGCCGGGGAGCCAGACCCGCCTGCCCCGCACCGGCTCTGCCGCGCCGCGCCAGGGCAGTGCCCCGCCGAGCTGGGCACCCGCCGGCCCTGGGGGGCTCGCCCCAGCCGGGCCCCTGGGAGCGCTGTCCGGCTGGTGGAGTGCGGGGCGGGGCGCAGAGGGGCCGCTGAGCAGGCTGCCGGCGGGGGTGGGGACCCTGCAAAGCCCCTTCCAGCGCTGGGGCTCTGCCCTTCGAAGAAGGCGGCCCAGCGCAGGGGCTGGAGCAGGGGAAGCCCCCTGGGTTTGCCCTTCAGAGCCAAGGCAGCCCTGGGCTGGGAGGGCAGGTGGGGAGCCTCCCGCCCCGCAAACCCCGGTCCTTCTGGAGCCTCCTCCTCCCACCCCCAGCATCTGCCCAGGCCCCTCTCCTCCGGGGCAGGGGCTGCCGCCTTTGTACAGCGCCAAGCACAATGGGGCCCGGCTCGGTGATGGGGGCCCTAGGCGCTGCTGCAATATGAATAGTACATCACAGGCGCGCGCGAGTCATGGCCCGTCCTGGCACAGCCCCCCAAAGCACGGGAGGGACCCTTTAGCTCCGCAGTGCTAGCAAAGGGGATAGCCAGTACTACTAGAGCGTTGCAGGACAGGTTCCCAGCCTGCCCAGTATAGGCATCTGGGCCCACCACGGCACTGGGCAGTGGCATCCCCTTTATTGAACACACACTTAGGGGCTGGGCCCATGTCCCCATTCATCTGCACATCACTCAACCTGGTGCCTAAGCAGTTCTGTTAAGGGCTATTAATATTGTAAATACAATGCTAGGGCCGCAGCTTGCCATAGCCCTAAAGATTCAGATATCACAGGCTGGAAGAACTGAGGACTCTTTCAAACCGCCATGTGATTTAAAATGACTAGAGAGGGAATTGTTGCTGGTAGCTGCTCAAAGAGAAAGTGCAGTGAGAATTAGGCAGTGGTCTGTATTGTTAGGGGAAACTCCAGGTCTTGTTTAGGGTAATTTGTCACCTAATGATATGCTTCCTTGTCATAAACCCCCGATGGCTTCTGTAGGTCTTCCACAGGAGGCTCTTTTAGCAACCAAATGATCCTTGTTATGCTGATCTCACTAGAACAAAGGAAGCCGAGGAAGCAAAGGGCACTTGGTGAAGTGCAGAGCGTAATTAAACAAGACACTGCAAAGCTGATCGGCTTTCAAACCAGCTGAGCATTGCTTCTGACTCTCAAAGAGCCATTGGATGCCCCTTGACTCATGGCCTCAGCCAGGCCACAGTTCTCTGTAAACTGGGTTAACAACAACAATTAAGCATAAACAATGGCCTCATCCTGCAGTCCCTACTGAGGCGATAGGCCAGGATTGTAGGTGCATGAGGAAAGCAGCACTGGACCCTAACTACTCAAACATTATGGAGTGAAATCCTGCTCCCTTGGAAGTCAATGGGAGCTTTGTCATCAACGCATTTCGAGACAGGATCTACTCAGTGATTCCCGCCGACTCCAGACCGTGTGGGTGTTACGGAGGGAGCCCTGGGCCCATGTAGGCAACATGTGAGCTAAGGGTACTATGGGAACCTCACCATTTGTCTTCCATCCCGCTGAGAACTGAACATTGTAACCCTTAATGTGATAGGAAATTGTTTGCATTCATGTTCTGTTGTATTACGTGAGACGCTGCATGTGATCATGGATTGGAACTGTAAGCCCAATGCAATGCACAGGCCCAAAGAGCAAAGTTTAGGTGGAGACTGTTCCACTAGAACTCAGCATTTCCGGCCTTTTTGGTGTTTAATTTCTCAATCTCGGTGCTTCATGACTGTAGCTAGTATTTTGCATGAAACGTGACTGGGGCAGAGTCCAGCATTAGGGGCAGCATGGAGCTGCTCTCTGGGAGTCTGGGGTAGAAATCTCACCCTGAGAGTTTCCCAGCATGCAGAGAGTGTGCATCTGCTGCTACCCCTATTCAGAGGGCCCAGCATACTCCTCCCCTCATGGGCACAGGTCCCACTCCAGCAGGGCCAGGGCCTCATTCTTCTCCTCCCCGCCCTTCAAGGGGGGAGGAGAAGGGGAGAGTAAGAGCAGCAATCCCAGTGGCTGGCCCTTGTGCTTGGCCACACAAAGAAGGGGCCAGAGAAAGGCTCCTTGTGCATGGGGGCCAGCCACAATTTGTAACGATTACTCACTGACATACACAAGGAAATCTCCAGCAAACGGTCTGGGATTCAGATTTCCCTGGATTTCCAAAGACCCAGATGGTTCTGTTCTGAGCTTTGCTCCTTTCTGCAAACGCTTTAGGGTGTGAGCGAGCACATTGCAAAACTGAATTAAAGAGTAAAGAGAAAATAGCCTCATATTTTGAGGATGCGTTGGTCAAGTGATAAAAAGGGGGAAAGCATCTGATCCAGATTCAGATTAGGTCAGGAAGAAAAGGGCTTGCAAACCTTTCTTCTGCTCTAATGGTTACTTACCAATCTTCATTTCCCTCCACGGCCCAACCTTTAATCGTGTGCCTGTTTTTCCCACCTATTATTTTAATTACATGGCTATTTCTTGCACAGCAGGCTGTGTTTAATGAATGACTACTACATGAAAAGGCTCCTGACGGTTCAACATATCCCCACACTGCTCTCTGGATTTGCCTATTCTATATGCTACATCTGGCTGGTTTTGAACAACTTGTGTGGTGAGTAGTATTAAACAGTGGAAAATTGACCGAAAAATGTTGCTAATGTGCAATGTTCTGCTCTGGCTGTGAGAAGATGATCCCCAGAGCTGGGCTGAGAGCTGCTATTCACTGCTGGTCACGGTCCAGATTTGGAGGCAGCACCGTATTAATGGGCTCTACCCTCCCCCCCCCAAATGTTACCCCACACAGAGCTGAAGAATACACAAAATCCCATGGTCTCCCAAGCTGTTGTGGGATCTGTATAGGAAAGTTACCCATCACTTTAGTTCTCAGCAAGCAGAAAATGCATATATAAATAGCACTCGGGACTTCAACAATCTGTTGCATATAAAGGATGCTTGGAAATGTTGGGTGTGACTTTCTTCTCACTTACACCAGTATAAATCAGGAGTAACTCCCCTGAAGACAGTGGCATGATATTCATGTGTAACTGCTGTGAAATCGGAATCAGGCCTGGCCTCTAGACTCCTACATGGACATTTGTTTTTGCTCATCTCAATTTTTGCCAATGAGCTCCTAATTTGAGATTACTTTATATGTGCTGCACATTTATCTGCTGCAAACTATTTTCTTTCTTTTAATTAATGTTATATCCTGATTCACACTTCAATTAAAACCTTAGGTCTGCCAGGGAATTTGTAAATGCGGAAGTGCACTTTGATCTTTAACAATAATATTAATGTTTCTGAGAACAATTATGTCCTTGGAAATTGCAGTGCCCTGGTATGTATGAGCACTATGTTGAGTGACCACATTTACTTTTATTTGAGTCATTTTCTGTTTTAGCTGGGGATTCAAAACCACCAGCTACTGATAATTATGTTTATTCTGAAGCAAAGAAAGAAAGAAGAAAAGTGCCCCCTTCTCCCCATGATAGTGTTGCTACTCCTGGGAACAGTCTTGGTTTATAAGATTCCCAACTTCAGTAGACTTTGATTTCATAGCTGGGGTGGGGGTGGGGGGAAGGAGATAAGAGATCTCTGTGGGCTCCTTCGTTGCTAAACTCATGACACATTTTTGGAGACAGATATGAATGCCCTAATTTTTCCTGCATTGAAGAAAGCCCAAGTACAGCAAATCTGGGAATGACGGTCTCTCCAGTGGCTTGGCCACTCATTACAATTAAACTGTGGGAGTTTGGAAAGGCAAGGACCTGACAGGAGGCCAAAGCCAGCAGTCTTTTTTATTTTTTTACATGATCCTTTAATTCAGTCTTCGCTCGAGCTATATTTCAATCAGTTAGCTAGTGATTATCAATCACAACTGACTTAAGCAAACTCAAACACGCTGAAATAAGTTAGCCCACTCCTGAGAAGTCTGCTGGGACTGAAGTTTTAACATCTGTTTAGTTAGGTTTCAGCTATAAGCAGCCTGATGCCACATAACAAGTCAAGGGAGTGAATCAAGGAAGTGAATCAACACTGAACTGGGTTTTGCAGGAGTTGAGGAGAGTGAATTAAAGACCCCCATTGTCTGAGCCTTTTGTGCGCAGCTTGAGCTGGCTCTAATCTTTAAATATTTACCCTGCTCTATTGTTCAGATATAATTTACACACTTTAGACTAATTCATTGATAGAATGTGCAGCCTTTACAGAGGTTTTAGAGAGTTTAATCTGCCAAAACTGAAATGCACGCAAAAGAGTATGGTTCTGGGTTATCATGTTCATTAAAAGCCATCAGCCGTCTACAGCTAGCTTCACTGAACTCCAAGGAGTTCAGTTACAAATAAGAATTGCTGGTTTCAAATGGCAGATTTTTATTTTATATACAGCACCACAAATATTCATGACTTTATAAGACGATAAGCATCCTGCCTTGAAGAGTTTACAGTTTAAATGAGAAATCACAGCTCACTGGTTAATGATCACACAGGAGAGTGGAGGTTGGTACTGTTGGCATGGGACAGAAGACCAACATTTTCAAGTGTCCACTGCTTTGGAGCACCTCAATTTTTGGAAACCCAGCTGGAGACCTTGAGCCTGATTTTCAGAGGTGCTGAGCATTAACTAAAATTAGAGTAGTTGTTCTGAGAAGAGATTTGATGTAGGAGAAGATCGCTTAGTGTATCAGGAAAAGTTTAAAAATGGAATGGTCGATATTATGCAAAAGTGATCAGAAAAACTTTCAGAAAAAAAGAAACTAGGATCTCAAATCACTAAAGATGTAGAAGCAGATACTGAAATCAATGCTCTCTGCAAGGATTTAGCAGCACACACTAGCTCACAACTGTAAACATCCATTCTCTAACTTGCTTTGCAGTCGTGGGCTTCTCTGGACTATTGCACATGCCCCCTCTAGTGTCCACGACCCAACAGGGTTACAGAAACATGAAGCCAGTTACAAGCCATTCGGGCAATCACAATCCAATCACACAACCCCAGTCGACACACAGGGCTTGTATTTATTGCTGTCTGGGCCCACAGGCTGCGCTGCTGCAGCATTTACAGCTTCACAGACCTCCCCTCTTGCAGCAGGAATGTCGAGTAAGCCCAGTGCGGTATTCCGGCGTCTCCCGGCAGTCTGACCCACTGCTTCTGCAGCAGAAAAGCACTTCTGGGTCACAGAGACATTTCAGAAAAACAATGGGCCGAACAGTCTCAGGGGGTAGCCGTGTTAGTCTGTATCCACAAAAACAACAAGGAGTCCGGACGGTGGCACCTTAAAGACTAACAGATTTATTTGGGCATAAGCTTTCGTGGGTAAAAACCTCACTTCACCCGAGTCCCTTCTCTGTGTCAAGCCACAGCGACCCCACTGAAGTTCTGTACAGAATGCGTGTAAATGAGAGGAGAATTCGGGATCCCCTTCATAAGGGCAGATTGCTTCTTAATGAGCAATTAGTCAAGAGTCAGCCACTTTGTATAAAAACTACAGAAGCATCACTCTGGTGACCTGCAGCTAAATCCCTCCCTGCGTCCTCCCCGGCACAGGGGGCGCTGCTCTCCCGCTCCCGGACACTTCGGAGTCCCGCCCCTACACCCACGAGCTTGCTGGGGGAATCTCGCGAGAGTTGAGTTCTTCCCCGGCGCTGTCTCGCGAGATCGGGCCCGTCATAGCGAGACTTGTGCCGGAAGGCGGGCCGCCGGGGCGGGGGGCTACTCTCGCGGTGCTTGGCGGCCCAGCTCTCGCGCGGCGGGGTTGCGGCCGGGCCGGCCGCCGTCATGGCCGCCGCGGAGGGGAGCTTGGTCCCGGAGGGCCGGGCCAGCCTGGCCGCCTTCCTGCTCGGGGCGTCGGTGGCGGCGCTGCCGCTGCTGCTCTCGGCGCCCCCCGCGCTGCTGGCCGGGCCCGGGCTCCAGGGCCGCGCGGCGCTGGCTCTGCACGTGGCGGGGATCAACGCGCTGCTGCTGCTGCTCTACCGGCCGCCGCTCTACCGGGTGCGGGCCGGGGCCGGGGCCGGGGGCGGGGCACGTCCCTTTCCCGGGGGCAGGGGGAGCGCGCGGGGGCTGCCCCACAAGGGCCGGGGCGGGGGCGCGGGTCCCTCTGCTCCCGGGGTTCACGCCTGGCCAATGAGACCGGCGGTGGGCAGGGTCCCCCGGGTGCCCCGTGGAGCCGGGAGCTGCCGCTCTGGAGCGGAGAGAGGAACATGTGTCTTGTGTTTCATGTTCCGCCTCAGATCGCGATCCGTGCCTGCTTCCTGGGCTTTGCCTTCGGGTGTGGTTTGCTGCTGAGTGTTGGACAATCCTCATGGAAGCACTTTGGCTGGTAAGAAAATACTTGGTGAAGGATGGGGACCGGGAGCCCCGTGTGCAGCGGAGGTCAGTCGGGTCTGACGATGACTGTACGGAGACCTGTGCTCAGTCCTGTCCGTGTAAGGCAGGTGACTGCATCAGAAAACCTGCATAATTGTCACTGATTTTTGGTCTGAGAAGAAAGCCAGAGATTGAATGGGTCATGCACATCTAACTCCCCTCCTGGCCTTTGCAGCGATGTTCCTCCCAGTGAAGGGTGAGGTACACGACAAGTGAAATATATGCAGTCAAACCAATGGCCGAGAGGTTTGGTATCCCATTGCTAGAAATTAGAGCTGGAAAAATATTCTATTTGGTTATCTAGTTGATACCCCTGGCATTGCAGGATTGGTTGGCATTGTAGAATTATTACAGTCTCTAGCTACTGCTCTGGTCTGCTTGACTTGCATTAGATATAATTGTATTACCAATACCTTGAAGCATCAAGTCCCTCCTAAATGAAAGAGTTAAGTTTTGTTTTTAATATATATGTACATAACCTTATACAAATGACATGTTTGTTCCTAACATACTTGAATAAATAGTGGAGAATAAGAGTTGCAGAATTCTAGTTATGCTGCTGTGAACAGTCAACAGAGTACCATGGATTTCAAAACATAGGATTCCAGAAATAAACACAGCAAAACATAACTGCACTTTTTAAATACATTAAGTTCAGCTTAAATTCGGTGGGTTTCTTCTTTTCTAGGTATATGTGTTCCTTGTCACTGTTCCATTATTCTGAGTATTTGGTGACAGCGATCAATAATCCCAGAAGTTTGTCCTTGGACTCTTTCCTCCTAAACCACAGTTTTGAGTATACTCTAGCTGCTCTCTCTTCTTGGATAGAGTTCACAGTTGAAAAAATCATTTATCCAGGTCAGTAGCTTTATTTGAGGTTTCTGGGTATGTTTTTAAAGAGAATAGCAATTGCTCATGGGTGAATATAGGCTGTATTTCACATGAGGGGACCGCGTAGGCAGCATATTTTAAGCAATTCATAAAGGGAGAGAAATTCCTAGGATTAAATTATTCTCATGCATATGTTAGGTGAAGTCCTGGCCCTACTGAAGTCGATGGGTTTTCTGCCACTGACTTAAACAGCACCAGCATTTTCATGCCTTGTGTATAGGTATGACTCAGTGTGTTGGTGTTTAAATACATTTTATGTGGGATTCTAATAAAGCATGGTAAAGGATGGAACCTGGCACTTACACTGCTAGGCTTGATTAGTCACATTTAGTTATTCCCTGTCAGGGTGTCTAAAGGAGAAGAGATTTGATGAGAGCGTACTGACAGTTATCTTATTCCCAAACACTTTGCATGCTGTATTAACTCTTGAAATCGAGGATAGTTTTTAGGCAATCTGGAATACCAATGAATGTTTGGCATTCTGCTAAAAAGAGTTTGAAGAGGAGATATCTTGCTGACTGGATTTTGTTAGTGCTCAAGCAAGATTCATGTTACCAATAATTATCAATTATTTTGGGATTCTTTGTCTTTTTAGACAAACTTTTTTTAAACCAGTTTACTGGAATGGGAGAAGTATTTATGGCTTCCCCACTGCCAGTATCCTATGTCCCCAAAGAGGGTTGGATATGGCTTCCCCACTGCCAGTATTCTATGTCAGTCCAAAGAGGGTTGGATATGGCTTCTTCGGTGCTGCTCTTGAATTGGTGGGGAAAGTCTGGTAGAGTGCATTTGCTTTCCTCTGAGGACTGAGCACATCAACTTAACCCCATCCAACTTGTGAAACAAGAGACAGTGCTTCGTTCCAGGGTTAGATTCTCTTTGTAGCTGTGTATTCTGACCACTCTGCCTTTGCATTTAGATTCACCAGGAAGAGTTAAGACACACTGCCTGCCACCTTGTCAGTATAGCTGGTGAAGAGTAAATAGTGTATCAGACTTTTTTGTTCAAATGTTTTGTTTAATTTTTATAGACTAAAATTGTACAACACACACTGCATTTATGTTATATACTGTCTTAAAACAACAAAAGCATGCACACCAATCTCTTGGGGATAGTATATAACAACTTCGGGGCTTTGATCTGGATGCATCAGGTTAGGTTACTGAATTTTGAAGATGCTCTCTCCCTACACTAGTCCTCTAACCCTAAATTTCCTTTTTTACCTGCAATAAAAGAGTGAACTTTTAAAACATGTTGTGACCAGTACTTATTCACTTGCAGAAATGAAGCACATCACCTGGCTCAGTACAGTCGGGTTATTGATGGTGATCTTTGGGGATTGTCTGAGGAAAGCTGCCATGCTCACAGCTGGCTCCAACTTCAACCATATTGTTCAGAATGAGAAATCGGATACTCATACTTTGGTGACAAGTGGGGTGTATGGGTGGTTCCGGCACCCGTCTTACGTGGGATGGTTTTACTGGAGTATTGGAACACAGGTATTGTATAATATACACTTAGCTATCTTGATCTTCTAGTTTTTCTTAATGCTACCCAGAGCCTGTACCTAATTTATTTAGCAAATGATCAACTGTAGGAGTCCCTGGTATGGATTTTGACACATTCTGTCTTCCACCAGCACACTTTTAGCTGTGAGTCATGAAACTGCTGGCCTCTGAACTCTCCATCATGTGTGATGTTTGGGAAGACCATATCTCCTTAATTTTCTATATGAAATAAGCAGAGGCAATGGAGCGTGGGTTTGAGCTGGAACACTTTCAGAGGTTCAAGGTGTGATCTGCTGCTAGCCATTGGACCTTAAAGCTTCCAGGGTGTGTCCAGACCTCCTTTTCATCTTTACTTCCCAAGTGTCTTCCAGTAAGCCATCAGACTTGCCTTATTCTTATTGAATATTAGTATTGTACAGGACTGACAAGTAAAATTAACCTGTTTAGTGTACATAAAACCCAGGTCAACTACAGTACTCTTGTAACTTAAAATGTCAGTATATTAGATACTGTAATTAGTTTATAACAAACCTAGAGTATCAGATATATAAACCTTGTAGTTGTATGAGTGGTGATGGTGTTTGTTGTTATCTTTTAAAGAAAAATTATAAATATGCAAAGCCACATATGCATAAGCCTTACAAACCTGAATTCTCTTAGCAGCAGCACACTCTTTGGGTCTGGTATTACAATAGAAAGAAATGTCGGTGCTCTTTCTTCATCAGAACTAATTTGTCATACTTGGTCTAGAATGCAGAGATATGATTCTTATCAAGAACAAAATTCTAAAAATTTGTTTTTGGAGAATGGGGACCTTTTAAGCCTTACTGCAGATATACGCTTTGTGGACAACTAATGAAACTTTCATTTGTTTTTCAAACAACCAACCAAAAACCTTTCCCGGGGTGAACAGAGTTTTGCAAGGCTGAATTGGACTGTAACCACTTGTGTCCTCTTACAGGTTTTACTCTGTAATCCCGTCTGTGTTGTTGGCTACACTTTAGCATCCTGGAGATTCTTCAGAGAGCGAATAGAAGAGGAGGAGTTTACGTTAATTCACTTCTTTGGAGCGGAGTACCTGGAGTATAAAAAGAGAGTGCCATCAGGTCTGCCTTTTATCAAGGGAGTTAAAGTGGAACTGTAACACGTGAAAAATCAGACTGACTGAGCGAACACCCAGCTCCAGGCTCATATGGAAAGGAACTATGCATAGCACTATATCGTGACACGCTCTAGGAGTAGCCAGTCTCTGTTTACTGGTCATCCACTGGAAACTCATTAAAGGCGAGGCAGCTGGAACACCTTGCAAATAAACTAGAAGCTCAGTCAAGATAGGAGTCCTTCCTAGATGCATAGAGGGATCTTCTGGATTATTTAATCTATGGTGATCCTAAAATGAAGCATAATGCTGGTGAAAAGATGGCACACTCTACCTACAACAGCTGAGTTGTACTGAAATGTGTTAACAGATTCTGTTGAACGAGCTATGCACTTCCTAGTAACTACCATTGCACTAGAAGGGTGCTTGTTGGAAGCTCATATTTCTATGGTGAAACTTTAAAATTAAAGCTTTTTGCCCGTAAAAAAGCTTAACAGCACAGCTTTAACCTCTCTGGACCTGACTCCACAAGCCTGCAGTGTGTGGAACTCCCACTGAAGTCAGTGTGGTAATACCCTGCTTGGAGGGCTTTCAGAACCCAGCCCTTTATTTCTGTCTTTTAAATGCATGAATTTACATACCGTTTTGGGGATATGCTTACCTGAAAGACTGGCAGTGCGGCACAAAGCACTGTCTCCTAATATAATGTTAATAGGGGGCTCTTTCAATATTCAAACTTTCTTAAATCACAAATAATCTTTCATTAAACATCATGAAAGCTCAGATTGAAAACTTAACTCAATTGTTGTGTCCATCAGTTACCTAGTGCCATGAATTTAAGTTTCATTATCATGTTGTCATTTTCCCATAGCCCTCTTGGCAAGAGTCTGTCCTGTCAAATTGTAAACTTGCTTCTGTAAAACAGTCTTCAAAATCGTGCTGCATTGTGTCCTATTTAAATAACTTTAGTTGTTAGTTCTTTCTCTATTCCTAGTTCACTCAGAGAAATTACAAGTTTGTTCCTGTTTTTGTGAAATGCAGAGAAAGAACAATAGCAGGCAGACTTGCAATAGGCCTTAGGTAGTAAGATTCTTGCCTGGTTCTAGAATATGTCTTGGATGTTTTATCTGTACGGGAAACACTTCCAGAAAATATGCTAATGTAGGAAAATATTTTTCTGATTAACTGGTGATATTCTAAATATTCACCATTCTGGAAATGATTTGTATTCAGATTTTGTGGTATAATTTATTTTCTGTTACTATATACCAAAGAAGTTCACTGTTTCCTTGATTCTAGATAGACTTTCTTGTTGGAATGAGAATTGTATGCTGGCAAGTAATGGCTTGACTTGAAGTATTCCCTTAATTAAGGTACTGTAACATAGTTCAGGAAATAGAGCACTGGCAGAAGCTGCTTTTGTAAAGATGTTGCCAGCTTCTGTTGGGTTGTAATTCAGTAGAGTTCTTTTCTTTTCTGGTGCTGACGACTATATCGGTAGTTTGGAATGCTTAAGTTTACAATTGAAATACCACTGGGAACACACTTTGATATTAAAATGAGGCATGTACCAAACAAGTTGGAAGTCAAATTCCTGTAGCCCTGCATAGGAAGGGATGTAGGGACAAATTGTTAATCTCTTCTCTCTTCCATCATGTAAAAGCCTTTTCCTACCCAAGTTATGCCTTCAAATTTCAGGGCACCTGATGCATTGAATTCCAGTTTAAATACCCACTGTTACATTAAATCTCCTACTGAATATATTTGTTGCTTGAAGAAAAGGATATGAAACTTCAGCAGGGCTGTATTTGGTTAATGTTGTCTTTCCTCTGCATAATTATTTGTAAGGACTTGATTCCTTTTCAGATGGCTTTTCCTTTGCAATAGAAGTGCCTCCAATGTACTTCTGAAAGAGAGTTATAAATGTTGCTATCTGTCTGTAGCCAACATACCTCAGAAGAAATCTCAAACCAGTTAAAATCTTAATACAAACAAGGATTTTTAACTGCGCTTATTTTTATTAAGATGTTTCTCGTATGAATTTTTCCCTTGTATAAATGTTTCATAACTAAACCTACTATTGATAATGATACTGACCTTCTTTGTAAAGCACTTTGACACTGAAAGTTGAAACGCATCGCACTATAGCTGGCAGTGTAATTTCCCCTGTTCGTGTACACATACTAGCGATTGCTCTACGAGAGCTAGTGCAAGTATAAATAGCTGTGTAGCCGCGGTTGTATGAGTAGCGGCAATGGAGGCATGGCTGAGCCGTGCCGAGTACAAACCTGCCTGGAACTGGTCAGCATGTACTCTGCATTGCTCGTGGCTACACGGCTATTTGTCCTCGCAGTAGCATTCATCAAGCCACCATTAATATGTGTATGTGAGCAGGGGAATCACACCCCTAGCTTGTAGTATAGACATGGCAATAGTACCTAGCATGTATGGGCTAATTAGAATTCACCTGAATCAAGAACAGAGAAATTGCACGCTGATCACAAAATGACCCAGCAGAGTAAACTTAAAAAGTGCTCTGGAGTATGGGGTTTGTTTTGCCAGGTAGTGAAAAAAATATACTAGGGACTTGGTTTATTACATGAATAAATCTTTTATTAGGTCAAACTGTTAGAGCAATACAGTGAGAAACTACTTGCTTAATTGTGTGCTATGTGAGAGATATTTGACCCACATAGTGTCTAACCCTAAACATTTTATGCTGCGTTACTACTCTAGTCTTATTGTCAGAGGCTTGAGCTCACATTATCTTTCTCACACTGCTGTTTGAGGTCCCTAGTTAGGAAAAAAATCCTGTTCACCACAGAAGTCTATATGTCTACAACTGCTGGACAACTTTATCAGCAGGAGAGTTGGCTAGATTTCATGGGTCTTTCCTCTTGTGTGAACAGTCATTGTTCACAGTGAGACTTTCATTCTCTTGTCAGTTTTTGTGCTTCATTTCGTTGTGGCCAGAAAGCAAACAATCCAGTTATTGCTTCAGTGTAAAACTGAGACTTGTGGATTGCATATTGGCTCCTAGCTGCTAAAATTTACCACTTGAAACTATTTAGATAACTTAGTGTGATGGAGGGGTATTAATTAAATAAATGTCTTATTCTTTTATTGGCACTTGTTTGGAAGGGTTATTGTCTTTTTTTGACTCTCCATAAATGGTATGCTTTACATCATTTCACTTGCCTGGGATAACAGTTTGCTCATGTGAATATGCAAAGTATCATGCGTATTTCTAATGCCCCTGTCACTGATGACATCAATTCTGGTGCCTAGATACTACAGTTACCCTTTGGGTTTGGGATATAGCTACATGTTCTGAGTCAACACCCAAATGTAACATTTGTAGCTATGTTGGAAAAAGACCTTTTTCATCTGTGTAGCTGGAAGTTCTGACTAGCACCCACAAAGCCTCAGGTTCTGTTGAATAAGCCCTTTGTAGGATGCATGTTGTCACAGTGAGAATGCATTTTCTTTAGATTGTGTCTATCAGCAAGAATATGAATGGGCACAGCAAATGATTTACTTGGTTGATGCAGTGGTCAGTGAAAGCACTTTCTTCTCCAATGACCCGGACAAGAACTTTCACAAAAATCAGATTTGTGCAGGGCATGTAGGTTCATCCCAAGGTGTGCTGAGTCCGAAGAATAATCTTTACTCTTCTTGACCTATGGCAAAACTTTCAAACACCTAACTAGCTTTTGAAAAGGAGGTGTGGGTGTTTTTGAAAAGTTTGCCCCAAGTCAATTTATATAGCGCTAATGTTCCACTTCTGGAGATGTGGGATCTTAGTACTTTATCCTGTGGTGTAAATATCTGGAATGATTGCTGCAGCCCTCATTCCCAAAGGAAAGGTGAGTCGTAATTCACAAAGAAATGAAGATCACCCTTTAGTTCAAATTGGGTTTTCAATTTATTTATTAATCAAAATGGACCCTTTGACACATGCTGCAGCACAGAGTCTTTAAAAAATCAAAGACGTTGTCAATGAACAACTTCTAGTTCTGTACCCAGTGAATAAGAATGTCATTCTGGCCCTGGGTAGGTTCGCACAATCTCATGTTAGCAATTAACTTATGAAGCCCTGTGGGAAAGGACTTAAACTCACTACTGCAAACAGTATTTATGCAGCCTGGGAAAACATCTTAATCACCAACAAGGTAAGGTACAGGCTACATAAAATTCTATGTATTTTAAAGCAGTCTACCAAATTAAACTTGTCAACCAATCTGATTGCTGGCTCACTGACCCTTATTTACTAACAAGGGTAACAGGCACTATCCTGTTGTTCAGGCCAAAAATTTAGGACTTGTATATCCTCAATAGGTCGCAGAAGTGTTCCATAGGTTTTTTCAAGTCACCTGCTTAGCTTGTATTTAAACTATCCCCTGCAGTGTTTGCAGTTTAAAATTTGCAATTTTAAGCTAGTGCAGGAGAACCAGAAAGTGAAACTGACCTCTCCATTTTTATTGTCCAAAGGTTTGTGAAGGACAGTGATTTAGCATAAACTGTCAAAAGGAAACTAGATTAATAATGTCAGTTGGGGTGAGGGGTTAGTACGAACACTTTGAGTATTTATTCTAATGTCCGACAAAAAGTAACGTAGTCACTCGGTAAACAACTAATTCCTAAAACTGTTGCTTTTTGTAAACATGTTATGACTTAGGAATTTACTTTGCGCTGGTTCCTTGACTTTCATATTCTGCTTGTACCACAGAGTGAGTGTTCTTTGACGGTCAGGATACAACTTCCAAATAATGGCACAGAGTAACTGTCCATCTATTGCACTTTCTTACTGCCTGGAGTAGCTTCTGATCTCACTGTCTTTATTTTATTTGGTAATTTGTCATTGGATTGGAATATGAGGAGGAAGTCATCTCCTGCCTTGAAAACACCTCAACATTCCTGTTGCAATAGGAGATTGTTACCTTGTTATATCACAAGATGTTTGAAGTCTGTTTGTTTGTGCTGAAAAAAACTGTTTACTAGAATCACTCCACAATCTATTTGGGCCTGCTGAGACCAACTGTGTATTAAATGAATGGAGTAGCTCTACCCTTTTTCTTACATGAAGAAATGTTCATTACAGATATTTAAAGGTTCTTTTCTTTTGCGGATGTTGAGAATTCTTTCCATTTATTAAATAAAACTATAATTGGTTAAAATAACCTGAAAAGGTGTGGTGATTGTAAGGGAAAGATATTCTCTTTGAAATTTATCTTCTGAGAAGTCTGCTGGTGGGAAGGTTGTTGTCCCATGCAGGCTGGCCCTCCCAGAATTCCCTGGTGGGTGTAATCATGCTATATTAACAACTTGCATGAAGTATCAAGAACTGATATTTTATTTTTTAGATTTTTAATATACAAAGCTGTGTACATCTTGTATGGAAAACAAGACTTCTGAACAGTCTACAGCATAAAAACCTCAGGAAAACGTTGTCCTACTGATCTCATTACACTAAAGTGCAGAAGTGTTAAAAACAATTCCTCCCCAAAATAACCGCCCAAACCCAGCTTCAAGGCTATGCAAGGTGACTTTCTTTTTGAGGAAATGGCTACATTCCACTTTTAACAAAGAATACATTGTTTACTTAGCTAGGCTTTTAAATAAATTGTATTCATTGGGGTAGGGGTAGTGGGAATAAAACTTACATACAGCTAGCTGTTTTCATGCATTTAAAATAAATTGATAGCACAATATCAAAATTAGGCTTATTAATACTCCACTTTTTTCTAGGTTCACCATCAAGAGCTTACAGTTCACTTTGAGCAGCTGAGATAAGGGATTTCAGGTGTGAAATATATCCATATTTGTTTTTTCAAAGTTTCCATGTGAAGGAGAAAGGAGACCAATTCCAATAACAAGTTACTGACCTGATGGGGGCTCACCAAAGAGTTCTGACGCAGGAGATACTGGACTTCTCTGCTGAATAGAGGTTTGAATTTATTGATGCAGAAAAATACAGTATAACGTTGTTGAAAATACACAAATAGCCAAAGAAATTGGCCTGGGAAATCCGACCATAACTGATTAATAACCATCTGGTAATGTAATGAGAACAGTATTTAGATTAACTGAATTGGTGAAGCCGTAGTCTGCATTTCAAGACTCAATTTCATCAAACTAAATTTGGAAATGCTGGTCCTTCCCATCTTGTCAAGTCTTTATTTCAATGGATAGATCCTCTGTAACATACCAGCCTGACTCAACCATAAATGTACTTGAGAAACTCCTATTTAAGTCTTTTGTTTGCATAGATGAAATGCAAAGCAGTGCAGCTTCTTGGCACTCTGCCTTGCCTAAGTTGCAAAATCTTTCTGGCTGGGACTCTCTGTCCCACCTTTCTGTTTGGTTCTGTAAGTGTCTTTCAGTAGGGAATCCTCAGTGACAATGTTCAGCATTCGGTTGTCCACTTTGGGCTCCCTGTTGTCTTCCATGCTTCTTGTCAAGTCGTTCCTAGAGCAGAAAAGGCACCTTGGCTAAATCACAAAAAGATCTAATTGTCAGATGGCCTGAATATTTTATTAGCAAACTCTTATTTAGAAGAGAGATTCTAGGCAGTCTACTGCTGTGTAATAATTTTATTCTTACACTTTCCACATTTGCTGTATTGAGTCTGTGTAGCAAAATTGCAATAGCACAAATCACATGGACTTTTTTTTTTTAAATAAAATATCTCAAAGTAAGTTCCTGTTGTTCATGCAGTACGTAAAATGCTGCAAGTCTGCATGGGATGACTGAGATTCATCCTTAATTAGGTCACTTCACTGATTAAACCAAGCTCCAATTACAGTAGTTCTCTAAAAAACTAAACAACAAGGAGTCCTTGTGGCATCTTAGAGACTAACAAATTCATTTGGGCATAAGCTTTCGTGGGCTAGAACCCACTTCATGGGATGCTTAACCCCATCCGTTAACACTTCGCACCTGGCTACAGCCAGGACCACAGGGAGTTTAACAAACAATGAAAGAAGCCTCACCATGCTCCTCTGAGGTACATCAAAGATACTCAAGGGACCATGTCACCTGCTGCTGCTCTACACTCTCCTCTGAGGTGGAGTAAAATTGTTGTTGGCATTTAAGGGCAGCACTGCAATGTGCTTTTAGTGGCTCTGTTCCATCTCTTCCCCACGTTTTCCCTCAGTTGCGGCAATGCAGTGGTGGACGACAGGATCTTTGGATATGTTACTTTCCTCATTCATGTAAGGTAATCCCCTTCCCCTTTTTCTGCCCCTTCCTTGTTCTCGCCACCAAATGTTTCTAACAATTAGTGTATTTACACACTAGTATCTCAGGATTTCCTTTAGCACCCACTGCTTCAGCTGCAGCTTCTAAGACCTTAGAGACTATCTGTAGAAACAAACTCTTGGTTTAAATATTACTGTAGATGCGTTTTTCTTCCCCTTTCTCTTGTAATTGGATACAGAGTTAATTCTGTTTAGATACTATCCTGTGTTTCTGTAACTTTGAAACTTAGTAGAAAAACAAATTTAGGGAAGGTGGTGAAGAACTGGGGGGTGGGATCAGCAAGTAAATTGCTTGAGCTGGAATTTAGCCAGGATACAGTCTGGCTAAAAAAACAAAACCACCTCCTCTTCCTTCCCCATGAGCCCTACCTTTGCTGCAAAGTGCATGGCGATTGTTAATGACCCCATTGTTCAGTGTGTGCCCCCTGGCAGTGCCTAACACTACCTGCAGCACCTAAGGTTCTATGGAAGTCTTCTAGTTGTATTTCCTAACTTCAGTATTTTAGTTGACAATTTTACTTGGAAAAGAACTAGCTAATTTGCCAGTAGTTTGACTTATTTTGGTATCAAGTATTCAGAGAAGCCATCAGCATTTTAACCATTCCACCCCATCCTCTACCTGTGAGTTGTGTCACTGGTCACTGTGCTGTCATCGTAAATTTTGAGCAGATTCTCTGTCTGGTCATCCTTCAGTTCCCTGGGTTCTTGTAGTCTAAAGTGAGATGAGAAGCAGCGTGAGCTGCAGCGGTTTTGATGGTACGCTGTATTTGTAACAGGACATGAGCAGCACTAGAACTGCAAGTTTTCGGTCCACAGAACAGATAAAAGTATCAGCGGGGCAGTACAAGCTTCCCTGTACTACTGTGCCTCATGTCTGTCAGCTAGGTCTCCATGGTGTCCTTGCTGAGTGCCCGCAAGAGCACTGGTTGTGTTTTTGAAATGTGGCTAAGTCTACTGGAGACTGGACTGAGACACATGAAGCCACCTCAAAGACCCCCAAAGCCTCTCCTCTTGGGGAAATGGCTCTGTGCTGTCTTACCTGGGCTCCAGCCGTTCCTTCACCTTAGCTATGGAGCGGACATAGGGGGCAATCTGTTTGGTGATGGTTGTCAGGTAGCTGTTTTCCTGTTTCAGCTGCAACAGGTCATGTAACTGTGCTGCATAGAAAGGGAACACATTGTAACAGGACCCAGCAATTCACCGTCTTTCAGCAATTGGGGCTTTTGGCCTGACTCTGAGCTTTCAGAGGCTGTTTTTTCACGGATGTCCTAGGAGTTTTTATGAAGTCATCCAGCATGTCCTCTGACCTCTTAAGTCTCTGAGGGGCCTTGTTACATGCTTGTAAACTTTCTGCTAAGCCCAAGACAGATGCTATAAACCACAACCAACTGAAGCACCAGAGGTTGCCATCTCTTCATGCTGCAGTTAACCAGCCATCTATGGGAGAGATTTGCAAAGCTACTGTGCTTCTTAGATACTTTAATCTCTGAATATCCAGACTTCCCTCCAGACTCTGCTTTTCATTTTCTCTTTCTCTAGGCTGACATTTTATTTTTTGAATTCTGTGGGTTTTTCTAGTTTGTTTCCTGTTCTCTTGCTGCTTCATGGGCTCTGTCCACAGTGTCGTTTGAAACTGTGTTAGCACCTCTCTGAGCTACTGGGTGGAGATTTGCTTGACAGTTATCCATCCTGATTTACCTTCTCTAACAGAATCTGCTCGAGATGGGTGGGGGGGGGGGTGCTGGGCTGGACCATTCTTGCCTCGCCCATCAGCATGGAATGAGTGAGAGGTGTAGTAGATGGAAGACAGCAGGACTGGGGAAGAGAGGTAGAGGGATTTGCATGTGTGGGAAGCGAGGCTGATTCCGCTGAGTGGGGCAAGGCCTTGTGCTTTGGGTGGCATTCCAGTGCTGGAAGCCCTTGGAGCAGAGGGCAGCAGAGGAGCCATTAAGCAGCTCTTTCTCACGTTTGAAACTTCCCCTTTAAACTAGAATGTGTTATGACCACACACAGACGAAGTTAGCACTGTAACCGCTATCACCACGTAGCAAATGCACGTTAAACAGAGACCATGGGCTGGGGAAGAACAGCTCACCACACGGAATCAGTGGGTTAGTGGACAGAACTGTCACAAATACCTTCATAAATTTCCTGCTCATTTGCCACCCTCTGATATGTTTCCTCCCAAATCTGAAACAAAAACAGTGAGCTGGACAGCGTGTTGCAATAAAGGACTGAAGTATCCTTTCCAAGGGACGTTTGCTGAGCCTGTTTCTTTCCCATCATTCCAGGCTGGCAGAGCAATCCACTCCGCAGCTAACAACTTGCAAATACCGCAGCAGCAGCAGCCCCTTTAGTACAGACCAAGAGTCTGGCCCTTTTAATTATTCTAGTGACTCAGGCTATTGTAGCTATAGCTGCACCACTGTAAGCTCCCTAGTGTAGCCGCTCTAAGCCGATGGGAGAGAGCTCTTCCGTTGGCTTAATTACTCCAGCCTCTGCGAGCGGCGGGAGAAGCTTTCCGGCAACATAGCGCTGTCTACACCGGCGCTTAATTCGGCATAAGTTTTATGTCATGTGGGGGTGGCTAATTCACACCCCTGAGCGACATAACTTATGTCGACTTAAGCTGTAGAGTAGCCATAGCCTGAGAGGAGCCTTTTCAAAACAAGAAAAAGGCTGGTGACTTTCCATCAAACCATTTCCGGGACAAGTCTCCTAGGGCAGACTCTGCATCCAGTACTCATGAGTGCTATTTCCTACAGACCACACCCTTACTCAGGATCCAAACCTGCCTGCTAGCTGGGTACACGGGGAATCAGGCTATAGCTCCAAATGGAACCAGCCTCACTTGCCTCAGAACACACTATTGCTCTCAGCACGTCATATAGCCTCAGGTCTAGACCACAAAGCAGATGTCTTTGTCTGGCAGAACTAGAAAAATCTTGGCTAATGAAGATCTCTAGCACTGGACTGAGCCTAATGATTCCAGTATAATCTCATTTCACTCCACCTTGTCTGTCATCTCCCTTCTACCTTCCAGTGAGGGGGGGAAAAGCCTGCTGTGCCCAACTGTCCATCGCTGTTTTCTGTTTATTTAAAGGAAGAGCGTAGAAATGTGCAAATGTTCTGCAAGGAGCCAACTATGCTAGAACAACCCCTGATGCCTGCCCTTTATGCGTCCGTCCTACTCCGAGATGCTCCATGGTCTCTCCCTGGGCTTGGCATTGGCATGACTCATCACTAGTGCCACTGTGTACTGCCCTTTAGGGAAGCTGCTCTTCGAGCTGATGGCAGGGGCGCTAGAATGCCAGCGGCAGGAAACGTACCTCTTCAAACATGCTTCGCATCATTTCCACAGACGAATACTCCGAGGCAATCTGCACGTCCATCTGGAGGGATTTCTGTAGGATCTCACTCATGATCTCTGTCTTGATGAGGGAGTGATGCTTTGTGAGGTCACGATGCAGCTCCTGTACCTGATCCTTCAGGTTCTGAATCTCTGTTTGCAGGGTCTGCATTAGAAAGATGAAAGGGGGTGAGTTACTGTGGAGTTTTCCTTTCACCCTGAGGTGACAGATGGCAACAGGTTTGGTTAAAGAAGAGGAAGGTACCTGGAAAATCCAGTCTCTTTTGATTTTCTTGCTACTGCTATTTTCTCCTGTGAAAGCACTATTTTACCATAGGCATATATATGAGTCTTTATGACTAGGTCACTCCTGAAGGCACAGAAGGCCTGGCAGTTATATATGGTACAGACAAACTCTTCTAAGCCAATGGACTTCACAGATTCCAAGGCCAGAAGCGAGCACTGTAATACTCCTGTCTGACCTCCTGTCTAACATGGGTCATAGAACTTCCCCAATGTAATTCTTAGAGCAAAGCTTTTAGTAAAACATTCAGTCTTGATTTTAAAAATGATCAGTGATGGAGAATCCTCCACAACCCTTGGTAAATTGTTTCAATGGCTAATTATTCTGTTAAAACATTATGCCTTATTTCCAGTCTGAATTTGTCTAGCTTCAAGTTCCAGTCATTAGACTATTCTCCTTTCTCTGCTAGATTGAAGAACCTATTAAATATTTGTTCCTCATGTAGGTACTTACAGACTGTAATCAAATCACCCCTTAACCTTCTCTCGGTTAAGCTAAACAGACTTAGCTCCTTAAGTCTTCTAGGAAGAGAACCAGAACCAACTCCCCTGACTTTCCCTGGTAAGTTCCCATGGCTGGCATGGATGCCCTTCTCCATCACCATTCCACTGGCACTAGCAAACGACCATTGGAACCCTAAACACGGTTACAATGACACAACCAAAAATGTCTTGGTAGGTCTAGTGCAAGTGAGTGCGGCTTCACAGCCCGGCTGGATTTGGCCCAAAGTTTCTAACTTTTCCACATGAAGAAGAAGAAGAAAGGGATAGAGACAAAACGAATGAACTATAGGAGTAAAGGAAGAGAACAGTTAACTGGAGAACCAGTTCAGCACTCTGCCCACCTTCACCATTTCTCTTGGCCTCCACTCTCTGGTTCAGGCCTGCCCTGCATCATTACAGGAGTTACTCCACATTTTTCTTCCACCTCTGGTAAGGAAAACCCCTCGACCAGGGCTAGCAGTCCCATGGTCAATGGTGAAATCAGGCTGTGTACTATATCTGCCCTCTTCCACGTACTTACCCGATACATGTTCTCATAGTTGCGACAGTGCTCAGTGAAGGGCGTCTCCCCTCCTTCGGCCAGCAGGACCTTGGTGCTGATGTAACGATGCATGGTTGGCTTTCGCACGATAGCGCCTGTGATGGACATCTTATCGCAGGAAGGGGGACAGCCAGGCACTATCAGCGTCTTGGAGCACTGGCCACCCGAGAGCCTTAAGCAGAGAGCGCGAGTTTTTAAAACGTAGATAAGCAGTGCCATCAAATCAGCCGCTGGCTCTGAAATTGCCATTTAGCAGAAGCAAACTAGAAAGTGCCTCCATCTGCCTCATAGTGTGAAATTAGCATCCTCTGACCTGTCTGACTTTTGTGTCCAGTCTGTAGTGCAAGCCAGGCAATAGCCTCTTTGGACATATTTTAGTTAGTCTGGCAAAGAGAAACCAGCTCCTCCCCCTTGAGAGAGCTTTCTTAGTGCAGGACAAGGCTAGCATGTCCTCGTTCTATATGACAGTGTCACTCCTTCCACCAGGCAAGGAGAAGATTCTAAGATCACAGCTGCCCTTTGCTGGGAAAGATACAGCAGCAGTTAAAGAAGAGGCCAAAGGTGGAAGAATTCCTGCCCTATCAGCTCTATTTTACTCTCGCATTAACTGTATTTATAAAAGGCAGATCGTGCGGGCTAGAAAAACAGATTTCAAGTTTCATTTCTGACAATCTCTCCGAGGAAGCTGATTGCCCATGGCTACCGCCTCTGTCTGTGGGGGACAGGTCACATTCTGTGTTAGGAGTTATGACAGGAAAGCAGCAAAATCACCACCACTAATGAGGTAACATCACCAGTGCCAATCCTGGTACAATGTGTTTTACTTAAAAAGACCCAGGCCTAGATCCTGTCCCTATCATGGAGTTACAGCACTGGGCAGAGTGGGCACTCCACCTGGCTAACGCTTCATCTAATACGTTCTTGTTCTAGTCCCTGTTCATCTGATTGAGATTTACAATCATGGAAACTGCCTGGAGACTCTGCATGGAAACCCCAGTACAGTAGGGTGAACATGATCCTATAGTACCCAGAGTTCCAGTTCCAATGCTATAGTTAAGTTCTATATGTTATTTCTATCTGATTTCTTCTGAATCACTCTGTAACTTTAAATACAAAGGTGTGGTCGTCATAAAGCCAGTAACTGAAGAATTGTTCTAGACCCCGGAGGTGTCTATGAGGCTGTGCAGAGCGTGAATACAAAGTGGCAGAAACACCCAGTGAGAACCAATCAGAAACACCTCCTTAGGTATGGATTCTCTTGTGTTGTATCAAGTGCTACCTGTGTCTTTGTCTCATCCGACCTATCGACAAAAATGTCAGTCACAAAACCCTGATTCTTGACCCCCTAGAAGAGGCTTGGTACAGAATCCCTGTATTAATTACACTGAAAACGTCTTGCTGCATGCACACACTGCATTTATTGGCCTCTTTTGATGGCCAAAAGAAACAGCTCTTCCAGGGAGCTGACACTAGGCTCCGACAGCCAGATCCAAGGAGATAAGGAATGCAAGTTTCTGCAAAATATCCTTGGGAGTAGGTGACTTCACTGAGCTGTAAAGTGATTTGAAGCTGAAAATTGCCAACCATTATAGTAAAGAAGCAATATTTGGACAAGCAAACAGAAAATATACTCACAGCATGATTTAGCATTTCATCTGTTGTCTAATGATAATCAAACTCTTCAATGGGAAGCACTTCCTACAAAGCAAGGTATTGCTACTCTTTGCATTCAGACTCCTCCCGCACAGTCCTACACCCAACAGCTGCTACCACAGTTCCATGCATTATGTAACGAATCAAGTCTCGTGCTAGAATCAATGCTCTCTGATCAGAGGAGGCAGCCGGACCCCCACTCTGCAGCTCTTGCTGGATTCCTATCGTCCAGCTCCCCGCTTCCCCTCAGAATCCAAGTCTTGTGAAAGGCAGCCCGTTATATGCAGCTGAAATGTACCTTTGACAAGGAAAGGGTGCTCTGCAGTCCCCGGTGCAATGATTAGTTTCCCTGAACTGTAAAATCCACTTGGAAACAAGCAGTGATCCCCATTTCACAATGAGAAACTCTGTCCTGTTTGCAGGGCGAGCAGCTGGAGCAGAGTGGAGCGGCCTAGGCTGCCTGTGACATCAATTGGCCTAAATATATCCAGTGCAAGGGAACTGTGCCCTGGAGAGTTCTTTGAAATTCTGATAAAAATAGTGGCAGACCAACAGGCTGCTCTGGGGGGCCTCAGCTGAAACCAGTCACTCAGGTGAGCCAGGCCGAAAGGCAGGCGGCTCGTTTGGAGTGTTACATGGGCTGGTGTTGGCACGGGGCAGAGATGGGACCTGAAAGCTTGCTCCCGGGACGGCCCCAGAGCAGCTAATCAACCAGGTGAGTGAGCGAGTTACTGTCAAGATCACAGAGAACAACCTGGGGCTCTCCATCTTCACGGTGCTGTGCAAGCCCCCTTCCCGCGGCCCTGGGAGGTGGGCCAGTAGGATCCCCTGCATTTCACAGTATTGTTGTTGCTAGTTTCTCAAGGAGTGGCCCTTGTTGTTTGTGTGTTAGTGGCAATGGCAGCACTTCACGAGGGCCGTGTGGGGCCTCCCAAATGAATATCTGTACGGTGATGTGATCGCCAGGTAGGCAGGATACTTCTGTAGCTGGGAGGCAGAGTGCTCTTGCAGTTGGAGCACAGCTGTGAAGCCAGGAGGCCTGGCCTCTAAAGCTGGCTTGGCAACGTATTCTGGGTGACCTTTGGGTCACTTCCCCTCTCTGTGCCTCAGTTCTGCAGCTGTGAAATGGGGACAGCGGGGTTCCAAGAAGTGATTAAGGACCAGTGAGAGCTTTGGATAAGTGGAGATCGATATTATCCTGCAGGATAGCTATACACATCAGCTGCTGTTACCTCGTCCTCCACTAGTTACAATGAAAGTCCTTTCAGTTGTTCCAAATGATTTGTTGCACCCCACGACTGGCACCAGTTACGGTCTGAAATCAATAGTGCTGGGCTCACAGTTTGTATGGATTAGAACAGGGAAGGCTCCTACTTTGTCAATGATTATAATGGAGGAAATTCTTGAACACTTATTGCTTTCCTCCCAGACTTTGGCAATTTTAACGTAGTGGGATTTACCCATACGCTAAGGACGGCATTGGTCGTGAATGGATAAATGCTGTCTGAGTCATTACACAGATTGAATCGATTTTCCCCATGTTCAGTATCCTCACACCTCTTGTCAACTGTCTGAAATGGGCATCTTGATTATCACGACAAAAGTTTTTTTTTTCTCCTGCTGATAATAGCTCATCTTAATTAATTAGCCTCTTAGAGTTGGTATGGCTACTTCCACCTTTTCATGTTCTATATGTATATATATCTCCTTATTATATGTTCCATTCTATGCATCTGATGAAGTGGGCTGTAGCCCACAAAAGCTTATGCTCAAATAAATGTGTTAGTCTCTAAGGTGCCACAAGTACTCCTGTCTGTCTTATGTCACTCGCCAGTGCTTGCCAGGAAAAGGTGGTGTGTATGTGGAGGAATTTCTGGCAGTTTTTCATGAAAGCTGCTGTTAAACTAGTCGCTTTTCTGTTGACCTGCTTCAGCCCACAACCCTTGCTTTGCAATAAGGATGAACCCAGCTTCTGAGTCCATCGTATCTGGCCAGACTGTATCTCCTGCAAAACACGGACATGCAGCTCCCCTTGTGCTCCAAACCCTGGTTTCCAGGAATTGCCAGTTCAAGCCACTGTGCCTATTCCTGACAGTAATCAGCACAGCTGTTCTGTATTGTCCCTAGGACACCTCTCCTCATGACACAGTCAAGGGCAGCTCACGGGAAAGCTGGAGCTACGAGGAAGCATCAGAGCATTTCAGACCAATCCACTGGGCTGGGTTTTAAATTCAAATAAACAGCCGCCTGTGGGCCTGGGGCAGGAATAACCAGGGGTGCTGCAGGTCAGGAGTCAGGGACTCCGGCTGAGCCAGGCATGGGGAATTTGCACAGTGCTTGCTCACAACACACCTGCTTCAAACTCTTGCTGGTCGGCTGTTCCTTTCAGGAGCACTAACCTCTAAGACGTGCTGGTCCCTTAATGCCAATGGAGGAATAAAACTGGTGCCTTTGAATGGTAAGTCAGCAGTCCAGCAGTCACAACAGTCTGAAATTTGCTTGGCATGCTGCCCCTCTCTCGGCTTTGTATTTGATGTACAGTGATGGCTTTCTACTCTGTAGGCTGTTTGGCTCTTCCAGGGTCACGTATTGATTATCCAATCGTTCTGTGCATGGGTGATCTTCGTGGGGGGGGGGGGTGTGATTTTTCAAAATTTAACAAACCAAATATTCCAAACCAGCCCATGAAGGCACCGTGGAAGGAGGCTGCTCCCTGTGAGTCTTATCAGTGACTTCTCCCTGAACGTGGAAGGACTGGTGACTTAGTGAGAGAGAGATTTACCCCATGTACAAATACATCCCATACCAACCTCTTCAAAAGATAACTGCTACAAGGCACTGTTAGCTCCCGTCCCCAGAACGTCTAGGTAATTTTGGAAGAACTGCACCAGCTGGCACCACTAGCCTTACTGTCTGCTGGAGCTGGCCAGCTGGGGCAGCACTTACTCCCGGAGAGCACCCCGACTGCTACACAGCAGTGTCTATATTTCTGATCAGACTCCTGTCCTCCTGAAATCAAGAAGGCAGCTGGAAGAATGATACAGGATGGCTGTGTGTTTAAAAGTCTATCCCAAATAGCCCAACAAACCATGACTCCAATACCCGGCATTCCAGTTTCTTCCACAGTTTAATCTAGACTATGTTGATGACCGATTCTACCTAAGTACATATTCAGATGTGTACAGGACTACTCAGTCCTTTGAAAATACAACTTTACATTGTTGTTTCTCTGGTAAATTGCAGTGTGAGAGTCCTGGGTGAAGGTGGATCTCCTTTAGTGTGTAGAGATAACTTTAAATTAGGTTTAATTGAAAGAAAACTCCCTGAAATGTTTAAAGACAACTCACTTCCTGCCTCCATCCCTGCTCTGACATGCTCCTGTGAGATTTCCAGCCCCAAAGTACCAGTGCTTAGTGATGCTTCTCCAGAGCTCCGTGCTTTGCCCATCACTGAGAAAGTGGTGCTGGATTCCGCTGGCTCTGGGTTCATAAGGTGCTCAGATGCCATGGTGATGGGCATAGGTGAAATTAGATATGACACAAACGGCCAGGATTCACTCCTGAGAGAGAGCAGAGCAGAAGCTCCGCTGTAGCATCCCAGGGACATTGACCACACTCCTCTGGCCAGGACTCACTACCAGAGCTGAGCTACACAGCCAGGTAGGCACCTTTTGGCTTATCTGCATTTTGTGTGAGCCACAGGTTAGAATTGCTACTTTCTTTCCAGCCTATAAATCCTACATTAGTATTTACCCTCCAAATCTTATTCTAAATCTCAGAGGCTCATGGAGACTCATTTTCCGCTCCCTCCCTGAGGATGTAGCTGAGAAATTGAGCATCTTACATGTTTCCACTGCTGATCCCTGGTCCAATGCCGCCTCCGCTCACCACCACAGACCGGCGTGGATTCAGCAGCAACAGTGGCTCCAAGCAATGGGCAAACTCAGCCCTGTACTCAGTGTTTATCTGCAGGGGCCAAAAGGAGACGGATTAGAACATGTGGTAAGGCAGGCATACCCAGCTGGATTCTGTTCCTTCAGTGAATATTCTCTTGCTCAGATACCATAAAATGCAGTGGGCTTCAAGACAGAGACAGCCCCTGAACTAGTCAGAATAGGACACTATGTTCTGTCTGAGAACCAGTCCATTCTATCCTTTGCTTGCTGGGGGAGGAGTTTTCTCCATACAAGGAAGAATGAAACACGCTTTGGGAACAGGAAATAACCATCCAGTCTAACGTGCTGTCTTGGCTTATCCCTTGGGCAGCGATTCTGCTGCCAAGCTGTTTGTGTAAGATGATGGGCATGCTGAAAGCGCTGTGGACTTCAGGCAGCATGGAGCTGGGGAAGTAACAGCAGCCGTAACTCTGGTATCTTGGACGTTTGGAGGTGAACTGGAGGCAGGTTCAGGACAGGGCCCCAAAACCGACATGAGGGTTGTATTAAATTCCCGAATGTGGGACTCGAGACAATAGAGCCTGTGAGTTGTGAGGAAAGGGTTTACCTTGCTCGTCTGCGTAGGTCTCAAGCGATGTGGAAGTTTGACTATTTTCTGGAGCCTCTCCATCAGTTGCTAAAATTAAGCAGAATATTTTGTGTTACAGCTTTCAGCTCCGCTCAGCTCCACGTCTTTTTGCCACAGTCCTGGACACGCTTCCCAATACTGGCCGAGCTTTCAGACGTGCTGGGAGCCCACATCTTCCTGTGGGCACCCAAGAGCACTTGTGAAGCTACAAGGTGGATGGTGAAGGGCTTTTTGCTCAGCTCCGCAAAGGGTTGGGGGGGGGGGGGGGTAAGTAAATGTTCCAGGGCCTGGGTGTAGTGACGGGCGCATGTGTCTGCGTTTCTGATTCTCTCTGGCCTGGAAGCCTCGCATAGACAGGTGCTGGCTCCTGACTTTGCTATATTTCTGCTTCCTGGCTCAGCTGACAGCAAAGTGCAGAGAGTGAGAAAATAACCCCCAAAGTATGAATCAGTGAACCAGGAATTTTCCCACCTCAAGTAGGTCAGTGAATTTGGGGCAAAAGGCTGGGTAATTTTTGTACTTGGCTCACCCATCCCTTGCTTCCTGGTGAGAGACATGGTGCTGGACCTCCCTGGTGTTTGTGGAAGCCAGCTGCTAGTGTGCGTTCTGGTCTCGGAATGTACTTACGTATCCCAAATCCAGGAATTCGGCTTTGTTCGCAGAGCTCAAAAAAGCAGAACAGGTGACCAGATGGACCTAGACATAATGACAAGCAGCAGTGCTGTTAATCACATCTGGAGGGGCTGGGCACCTAGAGATGGGCTGTTCTCACTCCTGGGGCAGTTACCATTTCAGGTATAAGCAGTAAGTGCTAACCCAGCAGATGTCACCACTGCAGAGACAGCGAGGAGCCTGGCAGAGCCAGATGGAAAATCCTGAGGACACAAAACAAAAACCCTATGTGCAACAGCCACCCTTCCTCTGGGAATGAGGCTGCACAGAACCCGCCACTCCGAGGGACAGATCTCGGGACATACTGAACACCTGCCACTCATTGACGTGAATGGGTTGGATCCTGCTCCTCTGAACTCCTAGGAATGTAACTGGGCCCAATGGGAGCTACCGCTGCTCAGCCCCGCTCAGGTTTTGGCTCCATTTCCCTGCTCCAGTGTCACTGCTTGTTTTCTGGGAAAACCGTTTCCAGGAGCGAAGTGGTCTGTGAACTCATGCATGGCCTTGCCAACAGATTGGCAAACATGGTGGGTGTTAGCCAATCTCCCAGCATGGAGCTCCATGAAGGTTTCTAACCATTCTGGTCTAGCCCTACTTGAGACCTACTGCAGAACAGCAGGCAAACATGACTGCAATGCCAAGGCCACGTAACAAACTCTTCGATCAGATGGCAGTTTTCTTTTCCTGGGGAATATCATGGAGTTTCTAGGTAACTGAGTTGCTGCACTATTTCAAAGAGCCAAAGAATCCTATGTACTGGCCTAACTGCTCTATAATTCCTGTGTAAACTAGTAATCAGCCATGAGCATAGCAGGGAGAGAGAGGACAGGATAACTGAGTCTTGAAAGGAACTGAAAGGGTCGCCTGAGATGGTGCCTACGTTGCAGGAGTAGCATAGCCTGGCATGTGCTGGGACTGTGCATGTGCTTACCTGCAGGGTGGGCAGCAGGGATGCCAGGTGGGAGAGTTGCTCCTTAAATGCCTTTTCCTTCTCTTCATACTGACTGGAAGTTACAGGGGAACAAACCATTTCACTTCAGCTTAGAGACCAGACTGACCTGGACTCCAGACCAGAGTTTAACTGGTAGGACTGGAGTAATTTATACATTATTATTATTACTGCAAAAAAAAAAAATCTGGTACAGCTCACACCTCACCTAGTGGCTGTGTCGGAAGGGAACCTAATAGTATTTTACTGGGCAATACCCTTGACCTCTCTGGGGCTCTTGCAGGTCACTAGGTAATTATACTTAGCCAAGCTCAGGGTCATTATAATATAACCTGGACTGTGGACTAGAAGATTGGAAAACCCCTGTAGTAAGACGGTGCTGGCTAGTACACTGCACTTGCCATGTTGTTTAATGGTCTGGACGCTGACTGAGAGATGAGTAGCCTGAAACTTAGTGGTGTTCATTTGTATTAATATTAAAATATTTCACAGTGATAAGGACATTCGTGTTCCAGGCAAATATTTTTTTCAAGTTCGAACTGGGATCCAAGTTATTGCAGCTGGAGGTAAGAGCTACGTCCAAATCAACTAATCTGCACCTGCTTCCGTGTCACTGTCCCCTCTGCTGGGGGCGCTGCCTTTGCTGAGGCTCGGCACGCAAAATGGAACGGCTGAAATCTTTGTAAAATATTTACCAAAAAGAAGGGGGGAAGAAGAGTAAAACCGGTAACTGTCCACTGCCGAACGATAAACCAGGTGCAGGAGTCAGCACGTCACTATCCCGTGGAGCTGCCACCCTGCTCGCAGGGCAGCTGGCCTAGATGAAGGGGCAGGGGCAGGACTGGGCAGGTGCGAAGAGAGGTGCTCGCTAATATTAGCTGTAGCAACTTTTATGCTCATAAAAATGTTGACACTAGAGGGCGCCTTGCTCTGTCAACTATAGGTAAGACCTGCCATTTAGAGCTACCAGTAAAATGGGAGCGGGGAGGTGAGAGAGAGAAATCAGTAATGCAGATGCAGATGCTGACCGCAGACTCTTTGTCTGGGAGGAGAACCAAAACACTCTCAACAACAACTTAGTGAAGATTATCACAGTGGCCTTGACCCTGCCCCCATTCAGTGCAACAGAAGTTCTTGCCACTGAACGGAAAGGGGCAGGGTGGGGTGCGGACTTTTGCAAACGTGTCCGCTCTTCTTCCCAACCCACGTGCCAGGTCAGGTTCCAGCCTTTTCCTGAAGGCCGAGCAGTAATCCAGAGGATCCTCCACTCTAGTCTAGCTGATCGGAACCAAGGCAGCCGCTTTCCTGGGGACAGGCTCAAATGCTCATCTTGGCAGGTGTGTGACTCGGTCTGTTAAATGCAAATGTATCTGTTGCTCTTCCCTCGGCGTGTGGATTCTGTTACTGGGCTGGGATATTGGGGGTTTTTGCAGAAGCCTTTTCTAGCTCCCCTTTAAAACATGGCCGTCTCTTGAGTCTGTTCCGTATCCCGTCCCAGTAGTAATAAATTATGACTGTGTTAAACCACTGAGTCTGGGCTGGTCTTACCTCTGAACAGCTTTCAGAAGCATCTTTTTTCTCTCTGCTAGTTTCTCCTGCAAAAGGTAGAAATGATCAGACATTCCCATAGCTAGAGGCTGCAGTTTACAACTCCCCATGCTGAGCGCAAAGAGCCTCCCTGCTCTTGATTCCAAAGGCTTTGCTGAGCTTTCCCCCATGTCCACTCAACAGTGAGATGAGGTTGATCAAAATACTCTTCTGCGTGGGAAAATAGACAGAGGAGAATCAGCGTCTCCCAGACTTATCCCACCGTCAGTCGGGGTAACTCCACTGACGTCCATAGCTATACCAGTGCGAGCGAGAGGAGAGCCCGGGCAGTTAAATCATTCCTTTGCTCTGATTTGGCGAAGATCTGAGGCCTTTGATTTCCCCTTGTGTGTGGGTGCACTGTTAGTGCCGTAACACCCCGAAGCAGTGTGCTGTAATTAACCCCGTTGCTCTCTGGGCAGCCCAACAGAGACAGTCCAGCCGGTGGCTGTGCCAAGCCACTCCGTACCTGCACCAAGCCACTCCATACCTGCATGCTACTGAAGAGTGAGTTGATGGATGTCTTCTCCTCATCTGCACTGTTGCGCACCTCCTCAATCATGGCTTTGAGGAGGACAATGGCCTCTCGAGTGGACGTCTGGAGCTCTTTCACGGCCTAGGAGGAAAGACAGCAGGAGAGTCAGTTGCAAGCAAGATGGGGAAGCGGACAGACTGATCCAGGACGTGGGTTCTGAGCCTGGGCACTGTCCACTCCCCACAGCAATGACATTTTACTGAAGCACGATTTACTCCAATACTGATGACAGCGGGAGCAGCCCTTCCAGTGCCGTTCCCTCGCCACAGTAATTTTGATGATCAACATCAACAAACTAAAACTCAGAATGCCTCTCTCAAATGCTACCCACCATCACAGCCTGGTCGAGCTTCTCGCAGCCTTGCATGTACGCAGTCTCGATGTCAATGCAGTGGGCTCGGCTTTCTCTGAAAGAGGCAGAGACCTGGGAATTAGGATCAGCCAGAATCCTGCATAACCTGCAAACCACTCTTCTTCATCTCCTTTCGTCTGACCAGCCAGGGCTATTGATGTACAGCAGTTAACGATGACCCTGTGCTCCCTTGAGGACTGGGGCAGCAGGATACTTGAACCTGGGTCTCTTGCAGCAGCATGGGAACAATGAATGTGCCCTGCTCCCGCCCATCTATCAGCTGTCTGATAGACACACGCACAGTCCCGAGCTCACAGATCATATGCTGATTATTGACTGTTGACCCCAAAGTAGAATGTCTGTCTCCCCGCTGGGCACTCTTGTTACTCTGAGTGCTGCTCTAGGCCCCCCCTTCCCATTACTTTCTTAGACCAGTTGATGATGTTGGTTTCAGCCTGCTTATGTAATGCTGCTGCTGCTTCCTGGACTCTTTGCACCCGTTTCCCCCCTCCTCTCCCCCCCCCTTTCCTCCTTTAGAAAAGCTTCCCCTAGGTCCAGCAACCGCTATTGTTTTAGAATAGCTCTAACTCCAAATAGTGGGGCTCACTGCTCAAGTGGGGAAGTTCTGTTGGTCTCTCTCAGGCCACGCCTATTAACTGCTGCTGCTTTCTGTGTCTGACACTTTCCATTCACGTTCTCCCTTCCCTGGGCATCCCAAGCTCCAGCTCCTTACGGCCCTGTCCACTCTGGGGCTGGCACCATGATGGCAGCGGCCATGCCTGATAGTCACCTCTGCAAAGAAGATACTGTGTCCATTCTCTCTCAGGCTTAGCGATAGGGTCCTCACTGCAGCACCTAAATGCTGCCGTAGCAGATCTCCTCTCTCATGTGGTTTTTCTGCAGCCTCCATGGAACATAATGCCCAAGGCTTAGGGAGGAGTTTGGAAAGGGTGAGTGCAGGCTAAGGCTGCCCCGTCTGCAAAGGGCTGGGTGAGGGGCAGGGAGACCGCAACTCTGCTACTTACACCTGCATGTCCCGGAAACAGTTAATGCAGAGCATGGATTTTTTCTCTGTTGAAAACATGATGTAAGGTTCCTCATGAAGAGCTGGGAACAAACAAATTCATCCCGGAGTTAAACAAGCTCCCTAAAGAGAGCGCAGCTCAGAATCTAGGGGCAGCTCCATCCTTAGGGGAGAGGACATGCAACAGGTGAGCTGGGTCCACCCCTCTGAGGCTGGAGATGTCTCTTCCTACCAGGTTTCTGAGGAGCTCTTACTTGTGACCGCTCAGCCACCTGACCATAAATGATGCATCCCAGCTCCAGTCTTGCTGCCTGCTCTGTTCAGACAACACCACTTTGACTTGCAGGCTCTCTGGCTGAGCAGCCCGTGTTTCTGGCTGGTGGGGCCTACTGGAGAAGGCTACATGCAGGTTACTACTCAAGGGCGTAGCCCTTTTAATAAACACTTTCCTTATATGCGCACCTTGCAGAGAGCTGTTCCTGGGAACCCTGGCCGCCATCTGTGTTTACACCTGACTCCTTTGTACAGAAGGTGCAAGCTGCACAGGACGTGCTATTCGTTAGCCAGGCACAGTGCTGCTGCACATAGACGCTGGTGAGTAACTGCCTTCGTGTGCTAACTGCACCTTCACCATGCAAACTGAGGGGGAAAATAACGAGCCGATCCGGCCTGCACACCGTTCCTGGGGAGAGAGCCGGTTACTGGGCTTTGCACCCCGCACGGGGCAGGAACGGAATACACAGCTCCGAGAGGAGAGACCCTGGATTCAGTTGGGAACGTGACACTGATAGGCCAGTGTTAATCCTCCCTGTGGAAAGGCTGGCCTGTGTGTAATTGCCCAGGTGGAGCGGGGATGTACTCACAGCATTTCTTGTGGATGTCTTTAGTGCGCTTAGTCAAGGAGACAATCTCGTGGCGAGAGAACATCTTGGCTTTGTGGGTCTCTTCGCGGCACTTGCTGCAGAGGGGCTGGTTACAGGTGTTGCAGAAATACATGGTGTCCATTTCCTGATGGGCAAACGCAGAACAAACCCCAAAGAGGGTTGAACGCCTGAGCTCTCATCAGTGCAATTAGAAATGGCTTTTCTCAGCCAAGGGGGCATCTGTCTGTCTCTGAGCCAGAAACTACCATGGCCAAGGGCCGGGTCCAGGACGAACAGGGCAGGTGTCAGCTTTGTGCTTAGCCCTGGTCAGGCTTCCCCTGCTGGACCCTCACCAGGGTCCTACCATGCTGGACTCATGTGCTAAGTCCCAATTGGTCTGGGTAGGGTCCAGCACTGTCTGGCTTTGGCCTCTCTGGCCCACTTCCTGGGCATAGGGCCCTGTCTGTTACCCCTTTACAGAAGTGGGACTTCATGGGTCAGCTGCCCACGGCCGCTCGGACCAGTGCTGGCTCCCCGTTCCCCAATGGCGTAAGCACACCCCTTCTCAGAGCTCCACCTTGTGGGCACTGTGGTTGACTGTTTACCTCTCTAGGGACACGTGACAGAGAAGCACCTAACACACAGGCTTTGCAAAGGTTTCTAGCACAATTACTCTTCACTTTAGACAGCACACGAGATATACAGAATCCAGGTAAAACCCATAAAACAGCTACATGCCCTTCTCTGCCTCCGCTTCCTCCCCACTCGTGAGCATTCTTTGGGGTTTGGTCGAAGTCCTGTAGGGTGTCCAGGAACCCCCTCCTGAATTATCGAGTCTCTCTCCCTCTCCTGCAGCCAGCTTTGTTCTGCTGTCTTCCCCTGACCCCCCCCACCCCAATGGCTTGAGACCCTGCTTTTTATAACTTCCACTTCTCTTTGTCAGGTGACTCCCCCTAATCAGCCTCGTCAAGTGATCAAAGTTCCCCACACAGTGATCAGTTGGCTTAGTTACCTGATCACCTGGGCAGACTGGTTCTTCTGAGGGGTAGCCAACTCTTTGTCCTACGATGCTTCCATTTGACTAGATAGAGGATCATCAAGGTTTGATGACCCTCCATGACTAGCCCTGTGTCACTGCCTTGGAATTTCAGTCTAAGATGGAGGTAAAAGGACAGCAGAGAAAGCCCAGACCAGCCTTGCAATGACAATGGAGTGAGTAGTTTTAAATAGATACACACAGAGTTGTACACGGACAGATTCCTCAGACTGTCACATCAAAATATTTGCATCTCTCACAGCAGTGCAGCAAGAGAGGCAGCATCAAGGGTGGGATGAACAAAACCACTTAAAGAAAAGGTAAAATCTGAGTGTCTGCGACTGAAATCCAACAGCTGCTAACCCTTTCAGTTAGCACAGGGACAGCAGGTAAGTGAGAGCACGTAGCTGAGCTCTGCCACTCCTGAGGCCAACTGAGATAAACTAGCCCAGGCCTCAGTCTGGCCGTCTGGAGTCCAGAAACGGGAGGTGGGAGTAAACTGGAGGGAATGGTTCAGCAAGGCCCCTACCTCCTCACCTGGTGGGTTCCTTTCCAACTGTCCCAGGTCCCTGTTCTGGGGGAAGAGCGTAGCCTTCCCCAGCCAGCTGGCCTGCTGCCAGGTCCTGCAGCAGAGTCAGCACCCTGGGTCTGACACTGCAGCACATGCTCAGGGAAATAAACCAGACCGCCCAAATCCAGCCTTGAGACCTCAATGCAGCAGCAAGAGGGCAGGAGCGAGCAAGTGGGGAGGGACGCACCCCCAGGGCTGCAGATTGGCTGGGAAAGAGACAGGCCGTAGGGCTGCCCTGGCATCGCTGGTGGGATAGCTTATGTCCTTGGAGTAACCTTTGGAACCAGAAATCTCCTTGAAGCTCTTTGCTACATCAGCCACACATTCCGTTATCTGGCTTTCACTTGCCTTGGTCTCTAGGAGAGGGCCGAGATGACACAGCTGCCACCGGCAGGGAAATTTATTTCCATTCATTCCAGAATAACGAAGTACCTGCTACTTGTGAGATCTGGTGCCATTTATCCCTTGTTATTCAGTGTGTTTCTGAGATGCTCATTGCTGCAGTATCTCCATGCGCTTTATGTAGCTTAAGTTACAAGCAGAAACGGCTCTTAAGTGTAGGGAGCAAATACCCCATGACACGCTGGCTGCAGCCCAACTTTAAAGGCCCACAACACAGGAAACCTCACCAGGCGGCTGGGGACTCCACAGCTGGGAGCGAGGCAAAAACCTGGCCCAAAAGGTGGCGAGTGTTTGCCACGTTTCTCTGACCTGGCAAAACATGTCGCTCCGTTCGCCCTGGACTCATGCTTTTTGGTTCCATGCAGACAAAGTAACAAGGGCTGGATGGAGGGAACGGAACAGAACCTCTCTGCTGCTTTAGTCCCTTAGCTTAACAGCACATGCTTAGAGGACCCCTAAGCGTAGCACTGTCTTACGAGAAATTGCAGGACAGCGTGTGTTTTTTCTCTCTGCCTATTTCTTTGGCAGCTCCTTTTGGACATGTATTTTTGTCTGGCTAGAAAAGGCCTTTCCTTTCCAGCTCCCTGCTGTGATCTGGTCCAGGCCAGGAATGCCAGCTGCTGGGTATGAAAGCAGGAGGTAGTCGCTGTACAGTTCTGAGCAGACAAGTGTCCATATCACATAAAACCCCACTGCCATGATTGGCACTAATTGGCCCCCTTGATGGCAGTCTCAACAGAGAGGCTAAGGACTGAATGGTCGATTTGGAACTGACCAGTTCTCTCATCCACACCAGGGCTAAGGAGATTGGCAGAATGGTACAGAACCCTTTACATAAGAATGGACATACTGGGTCAGACCAATGGTCCATCTCGCCCAGTGTCCTGTCTTCCATCAGTGACCAATGCCAGATGCTTCAGAGAGAATGAACAGAACGGAGCAATTCTCATATGATATGAGATGTCCTGTAGTCTGGTCCTTGCTTCTGGCAGCTAAAGGCTTAGGACACCCAGAGCATGGGGTTGCATTCCGGACCATCTTGGTTAATAGCCATTGATGGATCTATCCTCCAGGAACTGATCTAGTTCTTTTTTTGGACCCAGTTGTAGTTCTGGCCTTCACAACATCCCCAGCAACAAGTTCCACAGGCTGAGTGGGCATTGTGTGAAGCAATACTTCCTTGTGTTTGTTTTAATCCTGTCACCTATTAATTTAATCGGGTGACCCCTGGTTCTTGTGTTATGTGAAAGGGTAACTAACACTTCCTTGTTCACTTTCTCCACACCATTCATGATTTTATAGCCCTCTATCATATCCTCCCTTAGTCATCTTACTTCCAAGCTGAGAAGTCCCAGTCTTTTTAATCCCTCCTCAGATGGAAACTGTTCCATACCCCTAATCATTTTTGCTGCCCTTTTCGGTAACTTTTCCAATTCTAATATATCACTTTTTGAGATGGGGCAACCAGCACTGCAGGTAGTATTCAAGGTGTGGGCGTACCATGATTTATAGTGGCATTATGATATTTTCTGTCTTAGCTATCCCTTCCCTAATGGTTCTTAACATGGTTAGCTTTTTTGACTGCTGCTGCACATTGAGCAGATGTTTTCAGAGAACTATGCACAATGACTCCAAGATAAGGGAGAAGCGGTGGATGTGGTATACCTAGACTTTAGTAAGGCATTTGATACGGTCTTGCATGATATTCTTATTGATAAACTAGGCACATACAACTTAAATGGGGCTACTATAAGGTGGGTGCATAACTGGCTGGATAACTGTACTCCGAGAGTAGTTATTAATGGTTCCCAATCCTGCTGGAAAGGCATAACGAGTGGGGTTCTGCAGGGGTCTGTTTTGGGACCGGCTCTGTTCAATATCTTCATCAACGACTTAGATATTGGCATAGAAAGTACGCTTATTAAGTTTACAGATGATACCAAACTGGGAGGGATTGCAACTGCTTTGGAGGATAGGGTCAAAATTCAAAATGATCTGGACAAATTGGAGAAATGGTCTGAGGTAAACAGGATGAAGTTTAATAAAGACAAATGCAAAGTGCTCCACTTAGGAAGGAACAATCAGTTTCACACATACAGAATGGGAAGAGACTGTCTAGGAAGGAGTATGGCAGAAAGGGATCTAGGGGTTATAGTGGACCACAAGCTAAATGAGTCAACAGTGTGATGCTGTTGCAAAAAAAGCAAACGTGATTCTGGGATGCATTAACAGGTGTGTTGTGAGCAAGACATGAGAAGTCATTCTTTCGCTCTACTCTGCGCTGGTTAGGCCTCCGCTGGAGTATTGTGTCCAGTTCTGGGCACCGCATTTCAAGAAAGATGTGGAGAAATTGGAGAGGGTCCAGAGAAGAGCAACAAGAATGATTAAAGGTCTAGAGAACATGACTTATGAAGGAAGGCTGAAAGAATTGGGTTTGTTTAGTTTGGAAAAGAGAAGACTGAGAGGGGACATAGCAGTTTTCAGCTATCTAAAAGGGTGTCATAAGGAGGTGGGAGAAAACTTGTTCATCTTGGCCTCTAAGGATAGAACAAGAAGCAATGGGCTTAAACTGCAGCAAGGGAGGTTTAGGTTGGACATTAGGAAAAAGTTCCTAACTGTCAGGGTGGTTAAACACTGGAATAAATTGCCTAGGGAGGTTGTGGAATCTCCATCTCTGGAGATACTTAAGAGTAGGTTAGATAAATGTCTATCAGGGATGGTCTAGACAGTATTTGGTCCTGCCATAAGGGCAGGGGACTGGACTCGATGACCTCTCGAGGTCCCTTCCAGTCCTAGAGTCTATTAATCTATGAATCTCTTCCTTGAGTGGTAACAGCTAATTTAGACCCCATCATTTTGCATATAGAGTTGGGATTATGTTTTCCAATGTGCATTACTTTGCATTTATCAACATTGAATTACATCTGCCATTTTGTTGCCCAGTCACCCAGTTTTGTGAGATCCCTTTGCAACTTTTCACAGTTAGCTTTGGACTTAACTATCGTGAGTAATTTTGTATTGTCTGCAAATGTTGCCATGTCACTGTTAACCCTTTTTCCAGATCATTTATGAATATGTCGAACAGCACTGGGCCCAGTACAGACCCCTGGGGGACACCACTATTTACCTCTCCTCTTCAGTCTGAAAACTGACCATTTATTCCTACCTTTTGTTTCCCATCTTTTAATCAGTTACAGATCCATATGCCATGTTGTACTTACTCCTAGGCTGGCTGTGGCTTGGCTCTAGAATCTGATGCTGACACTGTTCAAGACCCAAGCACAGTCTATTTGGGGAGATCATAAAAGGACCCTCCAAGCAACAAGGATGTGGCTGGAAAAACTCAGCTGTTCTGAAAATCAGACCACTCACATAGGTACCTAAATGTGGAAGTGTTGGCCGTAGCCTGGAAGCACTTTGGGCAGGGGCTGTGTACTCCTTTGCCTTCTGCAACATGCCAGGCACGGCTGTGGAGCTGGAGACATAACCAGCCACTGTCTTACCTGTTTCTTGCACTCCTGGTCGCAGTTTGCACACTGAACTTCCTCCTCGCAGTCGGCAGAGCTATCCACAAGGAACTTCAGGAGCCGGTCTACAGGCGGGAGCCCGTTGTTTCCTTTCACTATGGACTGATGACTGAGGAGGACAAAACAGACAGGGTAGGCCCATGAGCCCTGGCAATGGCAAACAAATATTTCTCTTCATTCAAACAACCTAATATTAAAGGAAAATAACTGTCCTGGGACTGCAGTGAAAAGAAACCATGTGATACCTTAATGACCCCAGATATAAGGCAAACTGCAATGCAATCACACAGGATCAGACTTTTTTTCCTTTGTGCACTTGGCATTTCTGGACATGAACTGCACTATTTTCCATAACACCGTTCAGATCTTTGTGTTTTCATCAGAGCTGAATTCTGTCTTGCCACATACTCCAAGAGCATTTCTTCTGTGCTGCAAATGTTTTCATTAAGCTACAGCATTTAACAATCTTCATACTATGCCATGTTTGCAGCCTGGCTCTTCCCAGAGCGAGCATGCTGAACTCTCGTAAGCTTTGTCAAACTCTCTACACGCTATGTTAGCAGTATCCCACACATTTCTGCTTGGCTCCTAGGAGTGTACAGTGTGGGACATGCTGAGAATGGCCATTTAACGTTGGCATTTGCAAATGAACAGCCTGAGCTCCAGTGACTTTCTAATCAAAATGTTGTGTGATTCATTCCACAGGCGGCTGCAAGGGTCATTTCAGTCTTGGAATAGCCATGCTTGATGAATTCCAGGATGTGAACTCCTAGTATGTTGCCCCTTTGGTACTTTCTTGTTTACACTCAATCTTTAAATTCAGTTTGCCTGCATGTGACTCTATCCACTGGCTGTGTCCAGAAGATCGACTTCCGGCAAGGCACTGCTCCTGCCTGAAATGGTTCTTTCATTTTCACAAGTCTTGTGGCATTTGTTTAGCACTGGACATTGCTGCCCAGATTCCCTTAGCTACTGCTAGCGTCTAATTGCGGAGAGAAACGAGCAGACGAACACAGGGCTACATCTGAATAATCTCGCGGAGCAATAATAATCCAGAATGGGAATATTATTAACATCAAAATAAGCCATGTGGTGACTTCCTCAGAGAAGAGCTTTAACCAATGGGAAGCAGGTGACCATGGAAGCCCCTCCCCTAACAACCCTCCAAACAGCTTTCCCAAAATAACAGTAAACAGAATTCCGAGAGGACAGAAATTGTCCAAAGCCAAAATCCCTGCATGAAACCCTTCTCGGACAACGCCTGAGCCCCCTACATATAGACACACACACAGGCTTTGCTGAAACCCTTAAAAGCAAGCGCCACATTAAAAGTAATCAAATAATGTTAGTGAAATACTTCCAGTTTGGGTGAACGCATGATTAGTCTGAGTGAAAGGTCAGAAAAGCTGTGCCAGAATTCAAGCACCTTCTGTAAGGACCAGGGCTCAGCTCCCCTGGCCCTGACCACATTGGCTTGCTTTAGCAAAATAGTTAAAAAGGAAAAACTGAAGGCTCATCAATAAAGATACTAGCAGTGCTGATCCTGAGACATGTCACTCACAGTTAAGCTCAGACTGTACACAATTCCTGGCAAACTGCAGCTCCCCATGAACGCTAGAGAAAGGAATCACCCTTACATATATTCATCCATTTCCTTTAAAAGCATCGTGGAAATCTTTACTGTAGCCACTTTGACACTTCCAGTAAAACCCAGGACCAAAACAGTATGACGACAGCGCAACCAGACACCAAGCCACGGCCACTCCAGCCCCTTCTTGAGAGTGTCTCTCGAAACGCAGGTTCGCAGAGATGACAGGAACTTTGAAGTCTCATTCCCCTGGACAATGAGCGCATTGAGTCGGATTGAAATGATGATTCACCCACCAGTCACCTGTGAGGGATTGGGTTTCATCACTCCGGGCTGCATCTCCCAGCAAACTAATCATGGAACTAAAGGTCTCACTGCAGCTGGCAGTGCTTCATCGTTGCCCGGCTTCATCAAACATGGCCACGTTTGGGGGCACTAAGTTACCGATGGAAAAGATTTATTAGCCCAGGAATATCTTGCAGGGGGCTTGTCTGTTGTCTATTAATAGTCTGGCACTGCAAGGCTATATTTGATGGAGAGAGAGATGTATTGTACTAATACCAGCCAGATAACTTACCTCCCAGGCAATTGGTTTGGTTCTTCTGCTGCAGGGCTGGGCTGGATACAGCGGCATCTCGCATTGCCCGCTCTGCTCTGCAGCCCTCCGGGTACTGGGCAGAAAGCACTCAGAGATACTGAGTTTTAAACGAAATGGAGAATCCTATGAAAACTGCAGCAGAAATGTGCATGTGTATTATGTTACAAAGAGCACGAGAGAGAGGTAGCGATCTAGCGAACCGGATGCCCTTGGACTCTGTGTTTGAGTGGGGAGGGACGGGCTGAGAACACTGGGTGGGGAGAATTTAGAAAGGGTTTGTGTGTATGCTGTGGCATTTTAATGACCATCTGAATTGATTCCCAGCCCCAGTAACTTCTTGTTACGACAGATCAGGAGTGAATTTGGAGAGTAGTAAAGCAGAATTAAACACTGCATCGCTCTGTCAGACCCCTAGCAACAGGCAAGCTGTGTGAAGCCGAAAAGGGTTCTGGCCATGACTCCGGTGCGTTGAATTGGGGCAGCTCAGCCCCCAAGCCGGGGCTCCTGCTGCGGTAACGCAGGTAAAGTTCTTGTTGCCAGGGCTCGGCTGCTGTGCTGCTTGACAGAGGTAGTTAATAAAACCTGCCTGTTGGGCTGTGGAGCACAGGCGAGTCACTCCTCCAGGCCTGCTGTCGTGAGAGCCTTATGCTGACTGCCGGCATGCATGGCCAGGCCCAGTGTTCTCGCCAAAGGCTGCTGGGAGATGGAGAGCACCTGGCTAGGACGTAGTATGTGGCAGGTGGGGCATGGGTTAACGGGGGTTTTATAGGCTGAGCCTGTCTAGCAATTGCAGCCGTAAGCATGACAGTTTGGGTCTGTGTCGGAGTTTGAGGAAAAGGCAGGCAGCTGATGCACAAGAGGGTACCATTAAAAACAGTCCACCAAGACTCACTGTGCCTGAGTGAAGGGGACGCTCTGCATGGCAGCTTCATTGCATCTGCCATTCTTCTTCCTTTTCTCCTTCATTGGGCAACTTCTGTATAAAGACGAGACCTCCGCATTTCACCCCTGCTGCTCCACCACTTTACCTTGGGGCTAAAGCAGTGAGTCCCTACTAAGCAGACTCATGCCAGTGCTGGTCTGATTAAGCAGTTGTCATTGTTGTTAGGCAGAACTGGCTTCCTGGGAGACATCTTTAATAAGAGGGCATCCCAATTAAGGTGCTCACTGCTGACTCTGCAAAAGCTGCTAAAAGCCTCTGTCCCCAATGAGACAATAGCTTATGGGTTCACATAACTACTGTTCATGCTTGGGGAGAGCACCACCTCTGATAATGAGGGGTAGGGAGAAGGGCTATTTAAAAATAACCCAGGGGAGAACACACACAAGACTTTCTAATGAGAGAAATGTTATAAACCAGAAAACAAGTGAGAGTGTGATCTGGTGCCAAATAGCTGCTCTACTCAGAGTCCCAGTGTCTGTTTGCTTTGCTGAAATATTAGATTGAACATGATCAGGGAGGAAGTGATACCTCATTGAAGCTCCATTCATGCTGCCAATAGAGCGAAAAATTGCCCTGTGCGCCTCTGTATTGCCTTGCCAGTGACTGTTACTGAGCCTGGCTGCAGAGCTGGGCACAAGCGCCAGTCAGACATGCAGAATACAGGTGAATCCAGCCGTCTGTGGGATCAAAAACATGAAATAAAATTCTCCCAGAAATGCAGCTGCTGGGGGATACCTGGGCAGCTGATTGTAGGTATGGAGCCTGGAGTCCCTGAGTTACAGCTAGAGCCAAGGCTGTTGCATGTAGAGTGACCAGATGTCCCAATTTTATAGGGACAGTCCTGATTTTGGGGGCTTTTTCATATATAGGCTCCTATTACCTCCCACCCCCGTCCCGATTTTTCACATTTGCTGTCTGGTCACCCTAGTTGCATGACTTCTGGATAACTTACCTGGGAGAGGTGTCGTGGTTGGAAAACCTGCCCCCCTCCCTCTGGAAGCAAAGGCATCAGCAGGGGCTCCTAGCCTATTCCCTCTGTCTGCTGCTCTGGAGCTGGACCATCTGTGCTTTAGTGAACCCCACTAGGTGTTCGCCTGCATCTTCAGGCACCTCAATACTTTGGGAAATCTAGCCCTAGCTAGCTAAAGATGGGGGAGTCCCTGGTGAGCTCAGGCACCTGGTGCACAGGCATTCTGAAGGGGGCTGATATTAAATGCCTCTCTCTACCCCCAGCACAGCACGGGTAGTGGGGCAGTTCTGGCTTCCTCCCCAGAGTGCCTCACCCCTAGCATGCTGGTGCTATGGTGTGGCCCCACCCCCTTGTTTTCTACATACATAGTTGTGTGTAATGCCTGTGGTCTCTTTGCATTGGCACACTTGCTCCCAAGACTAGGACTGACTTGCCCTAATCTAACAGTGTTTGTATTTAGCCAATATGAGTGGGGAGTTTGCATGACAAACTGATTAGAGAGTGCTGTTTTTCTGCAGAAAAGAATGAATGTTTACTCCAGCTGATCTGTTTTAATTAAATAATTTTAAAATATGTAATTTGATTTTTTTTATATAACCTCTAACTTCATGCTAATGATATCTGAACAACCCCTTCAAAGCGCCTGAGATGCACCCAACAAACAAAAGCCAGAGATGAACACTTAAAAATAACATCTGTTTGGTCTCACTTGGCTCTGAGCAACAGTTTCCTTGAACTGCTTTAAGTAGCAACGTCTACCAGTATATGAGTTTTATTCCAGAAATATATCCACGCAGGGGCTGGTACGTCGATATTTTCCTTTGCTGTTTATGCTTTTGTTGGTTTTTGGGGGCAAGTTTTGGAGAGTTTAGGTTTTGATGTTAAATCTTGGATAATTTGCCGATTTTAATACCAAAACCAGTTCCAAGCTAAACAGTTGTCTGAAGCAACTTCTGCACAATAACTGTGCCATCTCAAACCTAGCATGGACAGCTTTGAGCAGATGAAACTGGAAGAGATGGAGTCTCTCTCTGCATGTAGTTGTCTTTAGTAGACAACTACATGCTGAGAGTGGGGAGGAAGAGAGCAAACTTCTAGGTCATGGAGACAGAACAGTCCCTAACCAGAACTGTTTCCAAAGATTTCCAGGAAGGGCCAGCACCTCTTTAAGCTACACAATTTTGTCTAACAGTTAAAAAATCCCAGTACAGTTTCTTGTGTGGTATTTTCTATTTTTAAATTTAAAAATAAACCCCTAAGAGTGAAGCAAACCTATCCGGTGTCACCCAGCCCTCTTCCCCCAGAGCTCAGACTGTAAGTGCCAGGAGTCATTTTTTGGCTAGGGAAATCCACCTGCCTAGGGGCTCAATCCTGCTAGGTGCTGAGCATTGACTCCAGTGGGACTATTCAGAAACCTACAGTTACTCCCATGCTTAAGTGCTTTGCTGGATAGGGGCCAGAAAGCTCAGCCCCTTGCCAGATCAGGCCGTAGGGCTGCAGTGATCCTGCTTCTCCTCAGGGTGATCACTTGTAAAGTGTAGAGTGGGAAACCCTCACTGCGCTTCTCCCATTGTGGCCTGCCCTGGCAGGGGAGTGAGCTCTCCTGAATTCTTGTGGAGCTATAAGTAGAACTTGGTGTTCTGCAGCTGTTCCCATCTGAAACCATTGTGATTAGAACCTCGTATTTCATAGGCACAAAGGCAGCTTGACAACGAAGCACTCAAATGCTGTGGTGACAGGCCATGTATAAGAGCAGAGCTAGACACAGCTTCTCCAGCTTTTCTGGGGCTTTACCACCAGGCATCCTGACCCCCACTGGGGATGTGTATTTTACATCATCAAGTCTGAGATCCAGGGGAAAAAATTCAAAAGTGCCTAAGTGACTTGAAGCCTAAATCTCAGTGCAAGTCAATGGGGCTCAGGCTCCTAAGTAACTAAGGTGCTTTTGAAAATGTTACCTTCACCAGTGAGGAAGGC